TTTTCTTCTAGACTCTGATGGCAGCAATTGAAGAACAGAATGTGGATGCTTTCACAGATGCTGTCAAAGATTATGATAGCATATCTCGTCTGGATCAGTGGCTAACAACTATGCTATTACGAGTCAAAAAGACAATCAGCGGAGAGCCTGATCTACGATAAAGAAGATATCTGTTGATAGTTTGGAACTGTCTGGAATATTTTTAAGTACAAATAACACATGTAGTGAAAGGGATTATAACTAGTTAGCAAATTTCTCCGTTTGTATCATCATGCTGTTGAATAGTTGGACCTTTAACTGCCCAATTTATGGGCAAATTTTCTTCTGTGTATGAATCTGACGTGAAAATATGTCAGATTATTTTGTTAGATATGTGATGTATAAAGTTAAGCACATTGGCTCTTTGTTTTCAATGTAACTTATTATGTAAATTTTTAATTTGATAAATCAGGTGAATGTTGTTTATTGAGCACCAAATAAAGGCTCCCAAATTTGTACATTTTGCATATGGAGCAGTAATATTTCATTTGGTTGCTTCTTTTGAACATTTTTGAGCAATTAGATACTTTAAAGTTTAAACGTGATACAAGTAAAATACATACAAATGTTTGCCCACATTTAGCTTGATAAGAAAAAGGAAATTTGACTAGTCTTTCATTTTGCATAATTTCATAAATTATGTTTTAAATTAATAATCTCAGAACAATCACTTAAGCAATATCATTGTCAGGGTAAAATTTCAGTTTGATGGCATCACTGTTTTAGCCCAAGAAATTACTGACATCAAGTACTGAAGAAAAAAAAAAAACGGAACGTCGGTACTTTTCATGTGGATTCAATTAAAATTTTATTACAGTATGTAAGCACATCATAAATAATACAACTTCAGATATAACTGATATTCAGTCAAATGTTTTGTCAGTTTCTGGGTCTTGGGGTGGGGGGAGTACATTGTTTTGACATAAAAACAGTCCTAGAGCATGCAGATCTGTCATTTTTCAGATTTTCTCAGGTCACAAAATGAAGGGAAAGAGGTCAAGTTTAGCCCAAATTTTTTCTCTGGAGATTATATCAATTGAAATTAGCTTTCCTAGAAATGTGCATTGATGTCATTTGTCAGTAAGTTGGTGAATGTAGATTTGTTTGAACTTGATGCTGATCACATTTGTTTGCAGGTATGTTCACCACTCATTTGAATACGTGCCTTTCTTTTCTTTGAAATGTCATTCAGATAAACTAAAGTCTAGAAATGTGTATTGATGTCTTTTGTCAGTAAATGTAAGTATGCTGGGACAATGCTGGTCTCTTATCCCTGCCAACTGCTACATGTACATATATTAATGTTTTCATCATTACATTAGGCATACATGTTTATCAATATTTAATTGAAAAACATTGAAATTATTTTGGTTGTTTAGTAGCCAAAAGATTAAAACACGTCAAAGTGTTCCATTATATTAACTATTAATACTAAATGTAGATCTGTATTTAATTAATTGCTGTACATAAACATCCCCATGTTCAATTAAAGCGGTCATAGTGTACAGGCCAATATATTGCAAAAACAGTGTAATCTTGTCTGTATAGTAAATGTAACTAGTATTAAAATAAACGTATACTAGTACACGGAAAGACTCTCTGTGTGTGTGTTTTGTTTCCTTTTGTAAACAATTTGAAAGTCATGGGGGGATCCAGGATAATTTGAAGGGGGCATTCAAGTTTTTTTTGGAATGACGGGCCTTGGATGTGAAGCCATCCACAGCTCCCTTGGTGTGGGGTTCGGGGCTCATGTAAGGGCCCCTGAAAACTATTATGGTGTTTTGGAGGGCAAATGGTGCCATTTAGTACAGTTTAGTACTATGATTCAGCTCTTCAAAATTCTAATATAAAGAGGGGAATACTGTTGTGATTTTTTTCCCCAGAAATTGAAGGAAGGGGGTTCAGGCCCCCCCCCCCCCCACGCCACTGAAAATGCAGCAAAGAACATACATGTTACCCTGACAACATTCAAACTGAGCAACCTTCAACACTGTGTTCCAAGACATCTTGAGTGTATACATGAAAATCAGTAAAAAAATAAAAATAAAAATAAAAATAACAACTTGGGTTAGTAGAGAAAGAAGTGTTAGGAAAAAATGTAGCATATACGATAATTACTCTATCTTTTCAATGAGGGAAAATTCTGAATTTTAGAGATAAAGTATTCTCTAAGTTATAAATTCTTGAAATTATAACATTAGCATTGAGTGGTAGCAAATTAAGAAAACTAAAAGGCAGACCACCTTGTATTTCTATTCTGTACAGTAAATGCACCACAAATGCTACATAAATATTTTTCATTGATTCCAAAATTATACTGAACAAAAATATAAATGCACGAAACTAAAACGGTCAGTTGAAATGGATAATCATGAAATATGCCCAGGTTGATGGTTTATTTGTGAACTAATGGATTTGTTTTGATCAAGTGTAGTGGTCTGGTTTCACTTGGCCGCTCCCCGTGAGTATACTCAAAGGTTCAGTTTTTACACCCATAAGACTAATGGAGCATGACGGAGTGGAAGTCGATCTGCATGACCAATACACAGACACTCTCTGCAGTCTAGGCAATAAAAGGACACACCAAAATGTGCATTTCTGTCACTTGTCAACATGCCACAGATGTCTGGAATCATGAGGGAGCATGCCTCAATACTGGGTTGTCAGTAACGGAAGTTGCAGCATGCCTGAATGTGCATCATTCTACTGTCAGCCGTCTGAGAACACGCTTCAGAGACACTGGTAGCACTAGGAACCACACCCGATATGTCGCCCATGGAATGTTCTGGATCAGCGTTTAGCCACCATGTTCCAGCTCTCGAGAATGTTCGCCAACTGCGAGTAGCACTCCAGGAGGAATGGAATAATATCCCTTAGGCCACTATTGACAACTTAGTGATGTCCATGCGCCGCTGGTGTACTGCTCTGCCCAAAGTTAATGGCATCTGTGAACTCAGAATGTTAACCCCCATGGTGTATTTGATGTCGTAACTTTTGGACTATGCATTTAAACTTCCCCTAATGCTCTCAAAGTGATGTCCATTTGTCGAGAAAAATATGCTGTTATTTTTGGCTATATACTCTAGTTCCATATATGAAAATGAATCTACATATTATTTCGTGCGTTTATATTTTTGTTCAGTATACATATCTGAAAGATTTTTCCCTATTAAAAAGATCAAGTCATTACCGTATTTACATGTATTTATTTTCTCAATGCCTTTACCAGTAGGTCTGCCTACTAGTATACATGACATCAACATTCATCTTTTTCTTATATTAAATATTGGACTGATTAAACACAATATACATCCGAGGTGCATTTTGAGTCCAAGATTGAAACCACTGTATCAAAATTATTTGAATCTGCCTGAACAAAATTCATTGCCACCTCTATGCTTTTAATATGGCATACTTTTGGTGGTGGTTATTTGTAAAAAATCTTCACATCAACAAATGGATTGTCCCATTTTGTATATGTATGTACTGGTTTGTGTATATGTTTATGTTATTGGGGCATCTTGATAGTCTGAAGGTTCATTGGTCCAAAAAATGGTAATCAGGGGTTCATTGGCCCGAAGGTTCTATAATGAACATTACTACACACACAAAGAGACTAGTAGGAGCATTTTACATTTAAAGTAAATAGGAACAATAATATTGTTCTAAAATTAACAACACCCCTTCCTGACTTAGATGATGTGACAAAGAAAAAAGAGAAGTCCACATTTTCTTTATTCCCAAATATACTATAAGAAAATATTTACAATTAATTCGACAGTTATTAACTGTGAACAAGCAACATAACCTGTGTGTAAACACACACCAACCACTGGGTACATATATATATATAACAATACAATAAAATATTTCTGTTTTACATAAATTCTGTATAGTTTATTATTATCAATTGATCTTTCTCTTTCTGAACAAAGATGACATTTGTAGTGCAATGTATCTGTAACTGAGCTAATTTTAAATGGATTCACTGACTGGGTTTTTTTACATCAAATAATTTAAATATTTGATAAAACACTGTTATCATATATGTGGTCAGGAATGGTCACGGTGGTTACTTTTTATTTAAGTACATAAAACATAATGCATAGGGATTTTTTTTTCAGTCGTGGCATGTAGATCTGTACAATTTAGAAATAAAAGACAAAGTCAGTGGGATACAAGTCTTGTCAATTATGGCATACTCTTCATGCCCTTGTATCTTATAGACACATCAATATTGATACTATTGAACCCCCCTGTCCATTCCATTAAATATCAGTCTTTGCATTTACATATGGTTTCTTAAGCCACATTCACAACCAAAGTTGATTGGCAGACTAACAGATCTGCAGATCAAATATGGCCGGCCTACTTGAAAGCTTACCATGCTATCCCCACAGGGAAACTATTCAGTGTCTACTAGGGGATTATGCAGCAAGCTTTCAAGTGGGTCGGCCACATTTGACCTGTTAGTCAGCAGATCAGCTTGTTCTGAATGCGCCCATAAATTACATACTAAAGCTTATTTACAAAATCTTATATTATGGTGAAAGAACATTATAAGCAATTTACCTCTCTTGGCTTATCTATTCCAGTTTTATTCATTAACATAGTGGTTACCTATAAAATAATTTTTAGTAAATATTGAAAATAATTTAATTTGTCTGAAAACCATGAATGTATTTTTTTTTTTCACAAATCTCAAATTCTCAAATTTTAGCTGCTTGGTGTGAATAATAATGGAGTAATCCCAGACACCTGCTTTAAAAGGCATTGTAATTTTACCTTTACAAAGTATATTTTCATGGGTGAAACAAATTTTTAGATGACATTTTTTTGACAGTATTGTCACAGAGCAAAACTACATCATTTGTTTCATCAACAATTCTTTATAAAGAACAGAGAATGCCTTTTGAACAAAAAAAAAAAAAAAAAAAAAAAAAAAAAAAATTACCAATAATGTTTCAAGGCCAAAATTACACTAAATGATCTATAATAATTCTTTATTGCACTGGGTTCTTAAATTTTCACTACATAATTCCATTCTTCACAAATCACACAAATGTCTTTGAATTGGCCATGCAGCTAACAGGGCACAATAAAAACGCCACTCTCTTCTACTTATCTCCATTCCAGTCTCAAACTCAATACTTAAGCCAGAGAAAATTGATGAACTGCTTAACAAGTGGCAAATCTCTGTGAACCTGGTCAATATTTTTAACACAACATTAAATGAGCGCAGTAAACAAACTTCAGGGTCAGTTAACTTTTCTTCAATTTTATTTTATGGGTAGAAAATGACAAATCCACAAAGTGGGCAATTTTTGAGCATAACAACATTACAGTATTCCTGAATTCAATTGTACATTTTCCCTGTTTAAACCAATACAAAATGCATTTTTCCAGTGAAAAAAGTGAAAAAAAATCCTCACAATTAGGGTCTTTCATGCTCATTAACCAACTTATCAATTTTGCCTAGCCTAAGTCCGTCTTCAGGGATTACTAAACTTGTCACTTAGCAGGGACTGGAATAATTTTTATATGTGTGTGTATCTGTATTTTGTTACTCCATTTATCCTGATAATTTTTGTGGATGATCAGGGAGAATGAAGTGATTTTTTTAATGTAAATTTCCTAGAATTTCAAGGTAATTGGAGTGACTGTGGTTGTAAATCCTTCGTCTATCCTGGTAATTTTCCTGGAGGTTCTGGGAGGTTGTTGTGTGTGAAACCATCTCCATGCATCTCTGGCTGGTATGTTAACAACACTACCATTACCCAGAAGTGAAGAATTAACTGAAAAATAGGAAAATGCTCACTGTAAAATACTATGCATGAGCTCTTGGCTTTTTTTCTTTGGGAACATTTTAATTGTTCATCTTAATAAAACAATTCATCTTGCCTTCTGTTTTCAGTCAAAAATATTTCAAGAAAAGAAAACTTACCATATAAACAATCACAAAAACTCTTGCTATTGGATATCTCCTTAAGAACACTCCTAGTCTGACACTGAAACCAAAGATACATTTGTCAGCATAAATTTACCTTTTTTCAACTTGTACATTCTGAAAAACTCATTTAAGACATTAATCTGTTTAAGTATTATTATTGAGACCTTAGACTAAAAAAGACAAAAATAAATAAATAAAATGTATTCCTAATTATTCAATTATTAAGCAGTAATACTGTTCCCCCAGGTAAAGGGGGTGCATATGGGAACAAATACTACCAGTCACTTCTCCCCAAGCTCTTTACCCCAGGGGTCAGGTTGACAGATATTTGCTTTCGCTAAGGGTCAATCCACAAAAAAAGTGAACATTTGAAAGAGTCACATCAGTGATGTGTATAATTGTGTATAATTTGCACAACTATTTTCAATTACTGATGATTTCTTTCATATTAGTTGGTACTAGAATAGAAAGCAGAGAAAGCTAAAAAAAAGCACTTATAGAGCGCAGATCTCCATCAAGGCAAGTCAATTTTCATTATTAATATTATAAATTAATCATTAATCAAATTATATTTATAGAGTCAAGTTACTGTCACATAATAAATAAAGGCCAGAACACATTGAGCGTTGGCAAAAGGTGCTCAAGGCATATATTACAAGAGGGTGGCAGTGTATTATTTGACATACCTACCAAAAGAAAGGTACTCACATTTCACAGAAAATTACCCCTATATTGCCATGGTAACATAGCATCCATAGGAATGTATCTGATAGATGCCAAAGTCAATGATAAGTGGCATACCAAATGCAGGTCACGCTGTAATTGATTGTGCTGCAGTGGGCAGAAGTGTTATTATATAACGTGTGACAGGACAGGTGGAGGTAATGGCACAAGCGTGACAGGATGGATAGAGAAGATAGAAGCAAACAAAGCCTGTGCAATGCTGCATTTTACTGATATAAATTGGTAAAAGTGGTAATTAATTTGCACCTTGACTCATTTCTGGCCTTTTTTTCAAAATCTTACCAGGGAACCAAATAGATGACCTCCAAGAAAATGCAAATAGAGTGCAATGTGTGTGTCACAATCACGAATCAAGTGTTAACTCTTTTGAGGAATGACAAATGAAAAATTTTGCACTTATTTAGCTATAGTAAACTAACAGAAATATTTCACAAAGAGTATGAGCCATGTTACCTAAACTTGTCAATGCTGTTGTATGCCTTCTTGACATTTCTCGCCACATTATTGTCTGCAGGGCTCTCTCTCATGAAGGAAGGGATTCTCTGTCTGCCTGCATAAGCATATTGGATAACAATACCATAATTACGTTATTCAGGTTATTCTTTCTTTTCAAATATATCTTCTGACTCCCTACCAACGTATTTCAAAATCATGAGGATATAGATGTAAATATTTTAGACAAAAAAAAGTAAAATTGAAATTTTTTATAGAGAACATCACAATTACATTCATTATTTTACCACTGAAAGTAATAACAATGACAATAAAGGGCTCTACCTTCATTCTTGTTAATAAAAAATCAATTTGAATAAGTGTCAGATGCAATAATTTTCAGGATGATTAAACATGCTACCTGCATTGAAGAAAAGGATGGTTTAATTCTATGGCGCCATAATTTTTCATTAATAATGACAATGATGTGAATGCAACCTACTCTCATCGTCATCATGTACTGCCACATGTGTGCTCATGGCTCTGATGGCAGCTGACTGAGCCTCTTTATACTGACCCTGTCAAAAGATAATTAAAAACTTTGAACGAGGATTTCACGATGATTAATGTCAAATGTCACAATTAAATTATTAAAACAATTCATTTTTTTAAAGGATGCAACATGCATGTATTTCATTTCAAATAGATAAAAATAAATCAACCAAAAAACTTTAAGACTGGTCAAGAAAGTATTCCTAACCTCCATCCTTTCAAGTTGCAACACTAGGGAGTTTTTCTCGGTACTGAGAGCTTCAATCATGGTCTGTTTCTGTATCAGACTCTCTGTCAGAGCATGGAGACGGCCTTCTAGCTCACTCTCACTAGTAGAACTAAGGCTTTTGGTTGTCAGCTACAGAAAAAGAGAAAAGAATTATAGGTAAAATATCTCTTCCACCAAGCACAATAACCATTAGAAAATATTTGGATTAGAGTACCTGACAACAGATAGAGGGCAGCACTTGTATCTCAATAGAGAACTATGTTGTCAACTGTTAAGAGGACATTCAAGCAAAATTTTCTCTATACCACACAATTTTATAGAATATTTTGGTTTGAACAAAAAAGAAGAAAAAGTGAACAAGTGATACCCCTGATGCTGTTATATAAAGCACATGACAAAATAGCTATGATATTGAATAGCTAAAAGATGATAACTTAACGTTGTGACAAAATAATTTTCCATTGCATATTTGGCACTAGTAATGCTAAGAAATATCTGCTGAGGTTTGGTCAATTGCTGAGGCCAATGCCCAGTTTTTGTTCCTACAAAAATCATTGTTTATGACTGCTAACAGTAATTTCATAATATTTGTTAAAATAACACTACCTGGTTGCGTAATTTCTCAATATCTGCCTCTCTGTCTTGTAGCCTACTTTGTAGGCTAGTCTTCTGTTTATATAACTCTTCATGGGTGTACTGGAGCTCCTTGATTAAAAAAAAAAAAAAAAAATTAAGCCTTTCATATGTCACAATACCTCATATATGACAGTCACCCCCAAAAAATTTTTGTTGAAATATTTATTCACCCAACAGACAAATTGTTGTTTTGTTTTACATTCACTTCCAACATTTTCATCTTACATTGGTTTATTTGTATAAATCTGAAAATATGGTGATTTCACAGCATTATCAAAAGACACTCAGCTGTTACTCTTTAGAAATAATTTCAATTAATGTTTCAATCTTTTGACTATTCCCCATGGAGCCCATGTAACTTCATTTTTCACTCTAGGTACAAATCTAACTCCTGGTCACCTGTTTTTGTTTTAAAATCTCCTGCTCTGCATCCTCCCTCCTCCTGGTCTCCTCCCGAAGCTGTTCCTCCAGAGATCTGATCTGCTCCTGGGCCGTGTCACTCTCATTCTGAAGCTGTGTCTCCAGATCCTGAATCAAATATAATTAAACATATTGACAATTATAAGTGAACATCCTCCAGAGACCTGATCTGATCCCTGGTATTGTCACTCTCATTCTGGAGATATGTTTCCAGATTGTGAATCAAAGACTATAAAATATGTAGACATTTATATGTGAACACCCTCCAGGGATCTGATCTGTTCTATTACAATAATTAAATTGTATGCATTACCTGTAATTCTGCTCTTAAGTTGTCTACTGTCATTTTTGATTGCTGCAGCTCCTCCTTCAAAATGTCTCTCTCTTGCTTAAGTTCCTCAGTCTCTACACTAGATACTGCATCAGCATCAGCCATGCCAGAGCCTTCCTTTAGGGTGGCTATAAGTCGGTCTTTTGACTGGAAAAAAAGCATCAAGTTTTCAAATGTTGTAAGAAGTCAGACTCTAAACCACAAAAGAACAGAAAAGAGATTTTTCGGTATATTTATTCTCTGTTCAAGAGTGCAAAATGATGGTTGGTAGTTGATATTTAATCTATTAGAGGGAACCAAAAGGTATTGTTATGGTTGTAAGCTAGTAGTCAGATTGGAGAAAAAAGCATGTAAAATTCTTGAGGATAGGTACAAGTCTTCAGATTGGAAAATGGGGGCCCATAAATAATTGTCTGCTGCTGATTACTCCTCAACTTTCAACATGTTAAATGTTAACGCTGTGGTTTTAAGGGATAACATATCAAAATCATTTCAACAATCAATCGATACCTTATCCTTTTTAATCTGATTTAATCTAATCCTGAATGATTCCAGAAAATGGCTAGCTTTAGATTTTCAGACATCTCATCTGAACACAAATTGGGACAAAAGTTTATTTATAGCATCTTCTTAGTTTTTAAAATTTTTAAGTTTTCTGTTTTAGTTTATACTGGCTTTAATTTATCTGTGGAGTTTTTATTTTTTATGTAAACAGCGCTGAGACGCATGTGTAGCGCGGTTTTAAAGAAGTGTTTTATTATTATTATTATTAAAAGTCTTGCAGACATCAAATGTCCACAATCAATGCAAGTGGACACTGGAACCAGATTTAGGAAACTGAATTCCATGCAGACATGCCACAGCTGTCTGATCTGGACAGGGGTTATGCCATTAGCACAGTGCCATGGTTTAGGCGGGCATAAGTGGTGATTTCCAGACAGAACTTATGATGATTGGTGGATATCTGACAGCCAGCAAAAGAGAGATGAAGTCCTTAAAACAGCTAAGCCAGAAGTACAATGCCAGTTCCCATACTGCCAGGATAACAAAGGCACACCTGCAGCAGGAGCAGAAGCAGACTCTTCTGTAGCCATGCCTGGAATGAACTGGGCAGACAACTTAAAAATAACTGCCAGCCACAGCTTACCACTGTCATAGAGTTAAGAGCTGCAATGGTGGAGGAATGGAGAAGAATGCCTTGGGTCCCCATTTGAGGTCTCATACAGTCCATGAAGAGGAGTGTACCTGTCTGTATTGCAGCGAGCTGCAGGGGAGGGCACAAACATTACTGAACAATATGCTACCCTTTAGGCAGCACTATGATATGTTAAAGTATATTACAACCATAGACATAACATAACTTGCATTTCTTCTTGGCGAGTTTATAAATTATCTGAGATGAAAGCCAGCAGCAAAAATGAGTACTGGATCTATACAGAATAAAAGCTTGAAATACATACCAGCGGTTTTCTACCACCATTAAATAATATAATTGTGGTATCATAACATTCTTCTAAAAATCAATAGGCTCCAAAGCACATCATGTATTCAATTAGTCTAGATATTTTATTCACACCCACTTACTTCAGGTAGAATATCCAAAAGGTTAATTTTAATAAATCTTGTTGGTCTTTCTATGATTTAATGTCATCCATTAGAATATTAAAACAATTCATTTAGCTTACAACAACAGTTAAATTCACTTGCTTCAAGTTGCTTGTCTAGTTGCCATTTCTGGACGATGAAGAAGTACAAGTTAAAACCTGATGTAAATGCACCTCAGTTAAAACTGAAGGGAACTGGACTACTTAGTGAAAACTGACATGAACAGTTCTAGGACAAACTGAAGGGAACTGGGACTAAGTGAAAACTGATGTGAACAGTTCTAGTATAACACTGAAGAGAACAAGTTAAAGTAAAACTAAAAAGAAAACTTCTCATATAAAAGTGATGAGAGCAGGTTATAGTTGAAACTGATAAGAAAAATTCCAAGATAAAAGTAATGAGTGCAGGCCATAGTTAAAACTGAAGAGAAGTCACATGAAATAGGTACATAATTCCAATGTTTCATAAAATATTTACTGAGAAAATGAAAAAAAATGATACCTGCAGTATTCTTGTTGCTTTATCCTTGTAATCTGCCAATTCCTGTTTGCTGGCATCCAGGTTTGTCTTGGCCGATTTCATTTGGTTGGACATCTCATTAGCTCGAGCTGAAAAATAAGGATCTTTATCTTACTGACAGATGATGGAAAACAGCTGAGACATTTGACAGCAACTGATTGCCTTACTCAATTTTTTAATGGCAACTGTAATATCAAACACACATTATGCATATACATCCAGAGATACAAAAATTCATTTTTATAAAGAAAACTTACCTTTCTCCTCTGATAACTTCTTTTGTGTATCTCTCAGCTGTGCTGCCAGACTTTGCTGTTCGGCTTCTAATTTGCTTTGTCTTTGCATTGCCTCTTGCTATACACAGATAAAACACATTTTAATTTGATGTTGTTCATTTACAACTCCAACTATTTTTTTACAACTATTTTTGTCTAAATTACAAATCTGCCCATAAATAAATATTTTGATATATTTTTATTAAAATAAGATTTAAAATTATTAAATATGTTTATTTTCTTCTACTACCTTTGACAAAGGTGAATTTTAATTGCTTAAGCACATTCTGGTTCTACAAACCTGTGCATTTTTATATGCATCCTGTTCTCTTCTTAGTGCTGCCTCAGCTTCTGCTAGTTTTTCTTTTAGAGATTCCAAAGCTTGGCTCTGCACACCACTCATACTGCTCTGGTCTTGAAGAATCCTGGAAAAACGTTAAAATCATTGAAACTTTGAAATATGACCTTACAGTTATAAAAGTCAATTATTAAAACAATTCAGCTTTGATAACACTTGTATTAAAAGAAAATGGCTTTTAATTAAACTTCTAAAAAAATATTACATCAACCTTTCTTAACATTATAACCATTAGTAAGGAAATGCCAAATCCCATCATTGACATAAGTATAAAAATAAAAAAGGTCCTCCTTCAACTAAACAATGTAGCAAATATGGTACCTGTTTTTCTCTGAATTCAACTCTCCCAGCAATTTCTTTTTGCTTTCTAGTCCCTTTTCTGCCTCTTCATATCTCACCCGTAGCACCCCAAGCTGAGAATCTTTTGCTGCCAATGCTTCCTGTAGATCACTCTCCCTAGACCTCAGCTCTCTTATTAACTGATCACTTTGTGACATGTTTGCATTGTTCTGATCCAGCTGTCTTCTGACACTGTCCAGTTCTAGAAACAATTAAAAACGACATGAGCCAAATATCTATAAGGCTATTATAATCAGGGTATTAAAGTTGGCTAGTGTTATATAAAACTTAATTTTTTTCACAGGCTCTGTGCCTCCTTAGGTGGGAAACTGCCACAGGGTAGTGACCTATAGTGCAGACTGTAAAAGCATCATTACTTATATGACAAAAATGGTTTTCATCATTATTCATATGAAAATATGATTTTCATTTCCAATATCTGGAACAAGATAGAAGCATAAGAAAAGTGTGGCAGGTGTTGTGGTCAGGCCTTCTTGCTGCAAAACAATATAAACAAGGTTTAATGGGCTTTAACTAACTGATAAATAATAATATTAAATAGCAGATGGTTTTTATAATCTCCAGTTACAGTATAGCAAAAATACAATTTGTCACAAATCATAGTGGTACCCCATACTAATGGAAAAAACTAAAGATGTGATTTTTATACTGGGCTTTCAATGGATAGATCATGCTCCGTGCAGTATATTTTATCAGATTCACTATACATGATGCCATACTGTTACTGAGTAACTTATTTTGCATTGCTGAAAACATAATAAGCCCTTATCTGACACCTTGAAGAGTGCCTTTAAGATGAGTACTACTATAATTATCTACTCATCTCAAAGATATAATTTACTTGCATTTTCAAAACCTGTAAATCAATGCATCAATAATCCATACAAATATCACAGCTTTCCATATTTTATTAATGTAAAAAAGAGTGAAAAATTGCTCGCTACTTCTCAACTTTATTACAAGTGCAATGTTCTCGTTATTCCAAAACACATGGGCGGGGCTGATATATATTCCACAGACTAACGACATTACACAAAGCCCTGTACTGACCAGACTGAGCTGCTTTGGCTCTCTGTATCACAGATGCAACTTCATGGTTAAGAGAAGCCACTTCGTTCTTTAACAACTTGTTTTCCAACTCCAGTGAAGACATCTGCTGTGATTGGCCATCCTCCTGGTTGCTATGGTAACCACTACTAGACTCCGCATGGTTGCTTGCTGCCTCGTCATGGTTTTCACCCATGGAGTTGTCTACACTTTCCCTGTCTGAGTCAGCTGCTCCTGAAGAAGAAATAAAACCCAAGTCAGAACACTCTTTAGAACAAGAATTTACTTTTGATACAGAAACTACACATCTTTGACTACATGGGCTCTTTAATATTCTAATTCTCATCACATTGATCCTGAAAATATTCCACGTCAGAACAAACAAATATCACAGTATACACAATACAGATTCATTTATGATGCCTGAAATGTTTTCTCTACTAACTCTGATCACTTGTTGTCTTACTTTACTAAATTATGAGACTCTAAATATGATCTCACCTAGCAAGTGATCAAACAGGGCTTTCATAGATACCATGTTGTTTATGAACTCCCTTTTACCCATTTCAATTGCTTCAGTCTATGCCTGTGAACGCAAGATATCCTCTGACAAGCCACAGATGCAATACACTTGCTATAGTTGAACTTAATGAAATATTTAACAGTGCCTGCATTTGCTAATCTGTTATTATTCTTGAAAAACGTGGCATTCTGGATTTATTTGCATTCATTATATCACCATATATATTGTTTAAACAATGCTGATGTTGACTGTCACTTTGTTGTGTTATCTCATTCAATATTTCAATTGTTTTTGATTTTATCAAATTGGTGTTCCTATAAAATTTATCAATGAAAAATTGATAAAAACCTTTCTTTTGTTTTGGTCTTTAAATGGTCAATCTTTAAATAAATAGTCATAAATAATTTAAGAGGACACAATAATTATTGACTAAGTTACAGGTCAAGTACAAAAAGCTGTATTTAATCTGAAAATTTAAGTTATTATTCAATATACTGCAAAGCCAGTTGTGAACATTAATGCACTGAAGTATGATAAATTGTAAAAATATTGAGATTAACACCTCTTTCAGATGGAAAGCATACAATAAAATAGTCTAAAATGCATAAGTTCATGCAAGAGCATTGATATTTTTGACATACATGACTTTTATCAAGATTAAATGCTGCATGTCTCAATACAAATTTCAATAAAATTAATATTTAAAATCACCAAGCGCTGGGAAATGTTAGACAACTTTGAGGCATTTGTTATTACACGTTCATCAAACACGTTTTATTTTTATCAGAGGTCAAAGGGAGGATTTTTTATTCCAAAAATTGTTTTTGGTCATGATTATTTAAACCTTTCAGATATTAGTACTAGTAAAGACTTTGACTTTAAAACACTAAATACTTGTTAACATATTTAAAAAAGGTAAAAAGGTAATCTATGCACTATGTCCTCCCAATGTCCTCAAGGAGTGATACTATGTCAAGCATATTTATGAAAAAAAAAAGTCCAGATAGCATTTCTGGTAAGGCACTGTATTTCTCTCCATTTCATCTGAATTCTTTTTAGCAAATCATATCTGCTTTAATATCAAAATATATCTTTCACTGGGGGTGGGGGTGTGTGTGCTATGTTGAGCTCTGGATTAAAAAATAAGATCAATTAAAAGATCATACTGTAAGGGGTCAATCACTTTGCTGAAATTTCGATGTATATGGACCATACAACTTGCATATTAAACTAAAAATTTAAAGCATAAATATTTTACTATTTAAATGTTAACAAAATTTAAAAATTGTCATAAAAATTATTATATTAAAAACTTTCAAAAAATATTAGATCAGACAATCCCAATCGAGAGCTGGAGTTGTTGCTTTTTGAAAATTACCTGTCTTTTCCATGCTAATAACCACAGATCCACTAGCTGCTGTATTACTTCTGGAACTTTTATTAGAAGTAGTAGATGAAATACTAGACTGTCTGGAATGTGTTGGTGGGGGTTTCATGGTCCCTTTATTAGTGTTCTTACTGTCTGTAACAGGCTCGTTGCTATTCAAAAACTCAAACAATTCATCATCTTTGTTTTTCTTAAGCCTGGAAGAAGATCCAGATTTGGTCAGTCCTACTGTTGTAGTTGTAGTGGCAGGAGGATTGCTCCGTAATGGTGCAGTTACCCCATAAGAAGTCCCTGCATTCCCTGGTACTCCCGCCTGTCTGTGTGTTCCATTTGTCAAAGCAGCTTCTGTGGGGGGAATATACTGTGATGAAAAGGTTGCAGACGATTTTCCATGGGGAGCCACGTGATAGGGCAATGTCTGTCCATCAAAATCATTTCCGTTTTTCAGAGCACCGGCAGCACTTTGGTCGACCTTATTCAACAAGTCTTCAGCCTTACTGGCTAGTCCACTCAACCATGACATGGTTGTATGTTAATATGAGGTGCCACACAAAGTCTGGGGAAAAATGCAGACAGTATCATGAATAATAAATATGATGCACAGTTAGTCAAGTTGAGGTAACTTGATTTTAATCAATTATGAATCAAATGTATAAATGCATAAAACTCTGTGACTCAATTGTGTTCACCACAGAGAGCCAATCTAATGACATTAACCTTCAGACGTTTTTCAATACTAAATATGTCATTTCGCAGAATTTAACGAATTGGAGACATAAATTCTGCGAAATGTAGATAAATAGGTCAATTTCCAACCAGAAATTTGAAGAAGGTACGTGCAGTTTAAAAGCTATTTTCTGGACTGAACAAGGGATTAATTTGGTTTATAACTTGGAATGTCAACTTTGTTTTTGTTGTATTATAAAGTAGGAGATGGGTTTTATTGCATTACTGCATGGAATCCGTGCTTGCTTGACATGTAACTCAATGGCAAGTAAAAAAAAATTAACACAAAATAAAAGTAAATGTTTCTTTTTTCAAATAATAACCTACAGAAAAAGTAGAAGTTGCAATACTTTAATGAGCTTTTATATTAACAAAAAGTAAATTACTAAAATCTTTCAAATGAAACTGACTGGAATTCGAATTTTTATCTTTGGTTTTTGTTGCACTGAAATTAGGCCTACTGGTATAACTTTAATAACTTTAAAAGGTGCAGTGAATGCAATGCCCTTAAGCAGTTTTCTTATAAACACCACTTGAATGAGACACATACTGCTATAATACATTGTCAATCATCTAACACAACTTACAAGTAATCAAATCCGTGAATTCACAGCAGAGACATCTATTGGGTCAGATATTCCAACTTCCAAAAGTGCAACCAAAATCAAATGACAAATTTTTTCGTAGGAGTAAGCATTATATCTTGCACATGCTATCACTTTGAAATAATTTAGGGGATGAACACAGCATATACAGATATTACTTAATATAATATTTCATACACCTTCAAACACAAAGACTTAAGTTTTCATTTACCTGACTTTTCAAAGATTTTCTTCATCAAAACATACCAACGAAGACGACGTGGAAGTAGCAGTTTGCGCATGCGCATTACGGCAGCTAAAACTTCCTGTTTACTAGAACACGTGAAATTTTGCTGAACAGCACATATAGAGTTTAAAATGCGCGTTGTGGCGCTAATAAGGTAATAAAATAACTTAGTTTGTAGCTTTGTGGGCAAAATTTAAGAAGGGCATATATGACTGAAAAGTTAAGTGACCTGATGTAAATAATGAAAAAAATAATAATAAATGAAATACTGTAGTCAACGCGGTTGTCATTTGTACACTGTAAACAAGAGTAGACCTATAAGTATTAAATCTACTATGAAGTTAGAAACATGTCAGCAACTCTTTCTCGGTATTATAAAAAAACTTCTTCAAGCCCAATTGGTTTCACGCCTCTGGAGAGTATGCCATTATACTATGTGTTACTTGAGGGTGGAATTTAGTGATCAATTTTTAGGAAATTACATGATATATATTATTTTACAAAGTAATTATGTTGAATAATATATAATATGGGGTAACTAGTTGCTCTATAAATGTTTTAGATAAATGTTTTAGATGTATTATCATGTAAAGTAATGTAAAGAAAACATTTTTTCCAGTGGTGGTAAGGACAGCTGCTATAATATGCTGCAATGTATTATAGAGGGGCATGAAATTGTAGCACTTGCCAATCTGAAACCCAAGGACAAAGGTTTGTACAGAATGTTTGAAACAGACCATTTTACATATACATTTTGTAACTGATTCAAACATTGGAAATAAAGATCTAGGTTTGTAGGTAAGAGTAAATACCAGTTTCAAAGCATTACAATGGTTAGTCTAGTTCATGATATGCCATGCCTTCGTTCATTTTCTGTAATGTTTTCAAATGTTCAGATGAGCTGGACAGTTACATGTACCAGACAGTGGGTCACCATGCCATAGATCTGTATGCCAATGCCATGGGACTGCCTCTTTATAGGAGAACTATAGAGGGCAGGTCCATTGTACAAGGAAAAGACTACTTGCCTCATGATGCAGATGAAGTAGAGGATCTTTATTTATTGCTGAAGCAAATAAAGGTAAAGGAGGTATTACTGACCACATAAGATACATTAATGTATAAAGTAATTGTTAGAAAATCTGAAGGGATTTTTAAGGTGCACTTTACTGGATTTTATGAATAAAAAATTTAATGTAGCAACCTTATCAATGCAATGCAATTCACGTCAGCCATTATTCTCCTGTAGCAATCTTCTAAATTTTGGATTCAGCCAGATTAGTTGCTTATTAAAATGTAAATGAAATCCCAATATTAGAAATATCATGTTAAGATTAAAATAACAAGTCACTTGATCAACTTGCTGTATATTTCAAGGACGAGTTAACAGTGGAAGCTGTGTCAGTAGGAGCAATCCTGTCTGATTACCAGAGAGTGAGAGTAGAAAATGTGTAAGTATAACATCTCAGATAAAATAGTTAACAGGTTGTTGTAACACTTTTAGGCTAACTAAGATTGTCAAACAAAATGGTGTTGAATTCTAAGGTTCAATGTGGGTCACTTTGTTAACTTCAACTGTAGGTGCTACCAGTGAGCATTTAGCTTTCTTATTTATTTCCATTGTGAACTTGATTATATATTTATGCTGTATTCAGAATACTGTGTGATATAATGTGGCCAACTGGCTATATCACAAGATGCAATCAAGTCCTTTCTCGGTCTAAATTAATCTTGATGTGAAGACACCTTTCTGTTCACAGTTTGGTTCAATTCCATCTTCCAGGTGTTCAAGGCTGGGCCTAACTTCCCTGGGTTACCTATGGAGACGAGATCAAAAGGAACTACTGCAGGAGATGATAGGCTGCAAGATTAAAGCACAGATCATCAAAGTAGCTACACTAGGTAACTGAAAGTTGTACTTGGAGTTTGAGAAATTTTTTTTTTCTTTTTCAATTATGAAATTTGAAAACTTCCTCAATCTCCTGGTAAGAGAAGTCTGTTTTCATGTCAGATCTGATTATTTCATATTTTATTTGTATTTCTGATTTTAGAGAATTAATATAAATTATTACAATTGTACCAGTGCATCAACAGGGATTTCTTTCACTCATTTTATCCCAATAATTTTAAATTGTTGTTATTATTATTATTTTGACAATGAAAACAATCTTTTTAGGTCTTACTCCTTCAGAGCACTTGGGAAAATCAATTGAAGATATTTACCCCCACATGCTGAAGATGGTAAATCCACATTACAATTGTTTTTCACAATGATCGACATTAAGTCAAGTTAATTGCATTTTATGCTTCTTTTTATGTGGTATTTTTCTTGTATCTTGTATGCATGAATTACAATAAGAATCATTTTACACCTCTGATAAATTTATGAATAGCATCACAGTTGATTGTAATTATTTTCCCCAGTAAATCTCAAAGTCTTCCAAAACCATTGTAGGGAGATAGAAATAATCTCTTACTTTTTTATTTCTAACCAGGAGGAGAAGTATGGACTAAATGTCTGTGGAGAGGGGGGAGAATATGAAACCTTCACCCTAGATTGCCCTATGTTTAAAAAGAGGATTATTATGTAAGTATTGCTAAGTGGAATGATATGATTATTATTATGCAAAGCCAGTTTTTGTGTTGTTATGCTTTTATATGTTTATAACATAGTAGGCTAAGGTATTCAATCACAGTAGTTCTGTAACACAATTTATATATTTTTGAGAGCTACCAATGGATGATAAATTTGTTTTTTTAGAGATGAGTCAGAGACTGTTATTCATTCTGATGATGCCTTTGCTCCAGTTGGCTACCTCAATCTCAGAAGAATGCATTTAGAAGATAAACAAGAGGTAAGTTATTTGCATTTTTAACTAAGCATGAAGTTCACATTGTAGTGATGCATCATTTTCTCTTTTTGCTGTATCTTATTCACCTGTAGTAGCATCAGCATAAATAATAAACTGAAATCTGGTATGACCCACATTGTAGTACAAAATAAACACATAGTATTGTTTTCAGATTTCCATTCTTAATCTGGTTAAATACAAATAAGTATATTTATTTTTAAAGTTTGCAATGATAGAAATGGAATCATTTTGCTATTCAGGTTTTTACAGATTCTACATTGAAAGAATTACTCAATCTTCCTGTTAAAAGGAGTTCTCAGACACTCCAAGAACTTTTCACTGAGGAAGAACTGGCTGATTTACCAGAGAATTCCAGTTGCACACCAACAAGAAAATCTATTACAGAGGGTTGTGCAGAGTGCTTAGCTGGTAATTATGGTATCATTTTACATTTGATATATTTCCTAGATAAAGGAATGTAGGCAAATAACTGTTTATCATCCTGTTCTCTCTTTAAGAACATTGCTTTTAACTAATGCATTTATGTTTTTATCAGAGTGCACATATTTTAATCCTCCTGATTAAGCCACCTTTTTTGTTTGTTTTTTTTCTGATTTGCAGTACCAGTACCATTTTTGGAAAATGATAATATAAAAAATAAGTTCAAAGGAATGAATGGTTTAAACTTATTTTATTATCTCATAAGACGTCCCTTTTTCCTCAATGTAGAGTCAAGTGAAATGGTAACAAAAAGTAAAAGTGGTCATATCTATATAACTGGTGTTTGTGGAAAGAAGGCAGAGCTGAATCAGACTATTGAAGATATCACCTACAAGGCAATGGAAAGGCTAAAAGGTACCAAAGCAGATACTTGTTTGTAAAGGATCATTAAAAAAAATGTTTCATTTTTGTTGCTTACAAGTATTAATGTTAGATGACATCATTTTAATAATTTTGTGTTTTAGCAAGCCCAAAGAAAATTATAAAAATAGAACCTAATATCAGATTTCATAAAAATAGAGTTTTTAGATGATGATTCATTTTGCTTGATACATGCATTGATATGTATGTTATTATAAACTTGAATTTACCTTTAACATTTCAGCATTGCTTTCCGAGCACGATCTTGTGATGAGCGACTTAGTTGTGTTACACCTCTATGTCCAAAACATGCCAGATTTTGCCAGGATAAATTCTGTCTACAGAAAATATTTTGATATAAATCCACCTGCAAGGTGAGTACATTCATGAGGACGACTGATACATTTAAAAAAAAGCTAGATTTACACATGCACAGGGTGTATTCACAGTGAAGCTATCATACTATGTTGTTCAAAGTAACTCCTCCAGGACTCTGGCCGAATGAAATCAGATTAAAAGTTTAACGTGCCTCCTCCTGCCTTTGAGTAAAATACAGAAAAGCAGATGATTATAATGGTATATTGGAAACAAGAGGAGACATATTAATCTGATGGCATTCAGTGAGAGTCCCCATGGAGTTAGTTTTAAGTAACTAGTATGTTAGTATGATTGTGAACGCCTCCATAGATAATAAAAGAAATTTTTTCCATTTATATAACTTACTTACCATTTGGAATGAGAATCATTGTTTTATATGGAATACGTTTGAGAGATGCAAGTTAATTCTCTTATCACATACCAAATCAACTGCTTGTATACGTAGTGAATGCTGGTACCTTGGCATTGTGTCGTATGATGAAGCTACATGTATATGGTTAATGAAATAGAGGAAATTTGATGTGGGACAGGGTGTGGGTGGCAATTATATCCTTAGCTCATTAATATCAGAACCCGTGGAATCTACCTAATTTAACCAACATTTTTATAAAAGAAAAATGATGTCTGTAGCTTAGTCTGTTTTTAATGAACCACACTTTGAAATATACAGAAAATGTGAAAAATCTGTTAATATTACTATTATGGCCTTTAGCAATGATCAAGAGAACATGCATGGAATTAAGCATGTAAAAGGGTATAGAAAATATATCCAGAATAAGAAATATTTTTTTTTTTTGGTTAAGGGTCTGTGTTCAAGCTAATCTTCCCCAAGATGTCATCATACAGGTAGACTGTATTGGATACAGAAATGCCTCTGAACCACTGTTAAGACACACAATGCATGTCCAGGGCCTCTCACACTGGGCTCCAGCAAATATAGGGCCCTACAGTCAGTCAGTCAAGGTAAACATACACATTGATTTGGTTCTGTCCTTATTAGATACAACTTTATTTATTTAAGAAAACTGTAAGGTTTTAATATGTCCAGAAAGAATACTGAAATTGTTAGACTATGTTTTCTTGCTAAATGCAAAGAATTTGCTTTATTGCTTTAATGTACTGGTTGAAAGAAAACTACAACTTTTTTGAAAGGCAACACAAATATATAACCTCAGTGCACATACTTTGATGTATTTTCAGTTAGTTGGATAAAAGTTCTACTTCTCTTTTACAGCTTGGGAATGATGTATATGTTGCCGGTCAAATTCCCCTTGTACCTGCCACCATGCAGGTTATAGATGGCGGGATACTCCCCCAGTGCCGCTTGACTCTCAGACATGTTGAGCGAGTGCTAATGGCCATGGGAGAAGGGCTGCAGTTGTGCAATGTCCGTATGGCTGTATGTTATGTTTTTGATGAGAGGTGTATTCCTGTGGCTAAAAGAGAGTGGAATAAAGCTCTTGCAAGAGTTCAGGTACACTTAGAATATGACACTGTTGTATGTTGATCTGTAAAGAATAGTTGAATAGTTATTGACATTTTTACGTTTACATTTGCAATTGAATTACAACTTAAAATTGTAATCAACAGTTTGAAGTATTTTCTTGGGTGAATGCATCAAGGCTAAGCATGTGAAAATATACTCTTAGTTGAGAAAAAATAATGAAAGTTAAAATGTTAATCACTTGAAGTTATTCAAAACAGTAAAAAGAAAGTCTTGCACTCTGTCATTGAATTATAAAGCCATTGTGTATCTGTCTGCAGCCAGACTGCTTTGGAGAAGAAGACTTGCCCCCAGTTCTGGCTGTGTATGCTGTGATACCAGCACTACCCAGAGATGTGTTAGTGGAGTGGCAGGTCCAAGCTAATGCAGTGACACAGAACTGGATATGTGAGGAATTTTATTTATTACATATGTCACCAGAAACTTTTGAAAATTGTGCACACAGTGATTCACATAATTTACCAAAAATTGAAAACTTTGCAAAACACACATTTTTTGCACTTGATGTTTTTGTTTATGGCAGTTTTAATTCTTTTTATTAATGAAGGTCTTGGTTTATTGCCCCAAAATTAATTAATGCTTCTAACAATTATAATAATTTCAGTCAGTAACAATCTTTGACATTAGTTATAGAATTATATCTTTTAACCAGTAAATCTGTGGATGAAAATAATGGTTGTCACAACTTGTGCTTTTAGCTTGTTCATCCGTTTTCTTCTTGTTACCTTTTTGGTGTATTGGAACAATGCTACATCTGCTAAACTAGTGGATTATTCAACATGAAGGATGAGCATGATTTTTAAGCCCCTCAAAAATTCTTAACATCAAGGCAATACTAGTTGAATGTAGATTGCCAAACGTGCCTAATTAAATATTCATGATGCCTAGTGATGTTGCTGATTATTGGTGGGACCCTGAAGGGGAGTGTCATTTTATTCTATCATCAGTGATGTCTTCAGTTGAGGGTAGTAGGAGATAATACTGATTAACAGGCTTCAAAAATTCAAAAATCTTGATACAAAATTGAAGCTTGCCAAAGACAAAAATTAAGTTATCTCTGACGAAACCTATCTACAACCTGGCTGCTGACAAAGAGCAGGATATGGTAGTTATGCCATTATGGTGTTGCCTTTTGTCCTCCATTTATATTTTGGTGTGGACTCTGTTTCATACCCGCACATTTGGTCTAAAATTTTTGATAAACATATTGTCGCACAAAACGGATCTAACATTTTTACTATGCCAGCAAGCTGTCAAATCAAAATTATAGTCAAATTGGTGAGTTATTTACTTATGTTTCAGAAAGTATCAAAGTTGTTTTGGGAAATTATTTTTAACTGTTTGTAAAAAATTCACCTGACTGATCTTGCTTTGATATTTTTATATACAGCTAGTAACCTGTGTATTCAGAATATAAAGGTGACAGGTGACAGTTGCTGAGGTGAAAATAGGTGCATCTGGCTGTAAGTCTGTCATGAACAGCTATTTTTAATGGCAATTCTGGTGCAATTAATGGGGTCTCCAAGTGAAATTCTTGCTGGTCATAGCCATTTACTTGTCATTATTTTCAATTTTTTTCATTTTGCAAGTGCTTAATGTACTGCTCAATGACTGTGTGGTTTTGTTTATCTTAATTTTTGGTCATTGGTGATGATACAAGTTTATCTAAGGCATGGCATAGATTTTGAAGCAAATGACAGTCACCGTTTTACTATTTTATAAAAACTAAGGTGAGAAAGCTGGGCTCTTTGGCATCTTTGTCATTGAAATCTTTACTGTCTCAGATTTTGAGTCAACTATATGAAGTATTGGTAAAATTGAGTATCTTGGATTTGATTCAGCTATTGGCAACTTTTTGAACTGTTTATGACAAGGGAATGTTCTACTTTTAGCCTCTGGTAACTTATCATCCATGCTAATTCCATCATTTTTCCCTGCATTTTTGATTTATGTACAATATCTGTAAAATCCAAGGCTGATTGGTATGACAGTGTCAGAATTGGTGTGACATCATAAGGATTGGTAGGACATCCTCAGAACATAAATCAAGTTTTTCAAAACAATAGCGACTAGTTAAATTTCACCAATTTTTTTTTTTTTTTTTTTTTTTGTGGAAATGCATGCAGCTTTGGAAATGTCACAGAAATGAATAATCCCACTGAGAATTGTAAAACTCCTATAAGGTTGTGGTTTTTGAACTATTTCTGCATTGTGACAAATATTGATGTGCTGTGAATAAATTTTGCCAATAAGAATTTGGCTGGGATATTTCAGTCCAATTACCAGCTATACGTAACTGACATTTATTGAAACAATCTGATAAATTGGAGTATAAATGTAACCAGAGGAACTAACAGTAAACTGAATTAAGGACTAGAAATATGATATATATGTATTTACAAGGAACAGAAATCTTTTGAACAGTACTTCATTATATTCTTGTTGAGGAGACATATACACAGTATGATTGGTAGCGTAGTCGACTCCAACAATTAAATGACATCACATCTCCATAAAAATGTCTGTTATGTCTTTCTGTTTTTATTGCTTGTGCTGTTTTTATGCTATATATTTTTTCATGTTTGTGAACTGATTTCAGTTAGCATAGAAATAAAATTAAAATTCCACATTGATTTTAGGCTCAGTTGACAGCAGTGTCAAAGAAATTCTATACTTATTTTGTAATGTTTACTCCAGGGGGAATTATGCAGATCTGTTAGATAATACAGAGGTGTGTAACTATAAATAAGAATAATAAAAGCTATTTGATATGACTCATTTAAATATATAGATAAAAGGCTGTGAACCAGGAAACAAAATAACTGTTCCTGCAAATTTTAATCACTTGATGATGTGTGGCTACGTACATTGCGACGTCAACATTGCCACTTCTTAGATATGACTATAAAACATATAATCAAACAGTGGCCTAACTGTTATGTTGTTGTTGGGGATGAAAAGTGAAAAGGTAAATTAACCTTTTGCTGCATCCTGTAAGCACCCCTTTACTCATACATTTGTACTTTCATGATGTGATACACAAATGGATGGGAAGGCAATTGATGACCACTGATAGCAGAGAAAAATGACATGGGAATAGTTTCATTTTTTACTTTTATTGCAATGACAATAAAATTACTTTGCTGGGTCTGCATTTGCACTTACATAATCCTGATTTAGTCTGGAAAAAATGCCAAGGACTTCTCTCAAGTTGTGATGCACTTCCATTAAGATGAACCTAAGCTCCATTTTGTAACACAGCTTTATGCATGTCTCGGTGATCCGTGCAGTTGTTCTTTGTGTTAAATATCTGTTTAATTTGATTTGTATGTGGCAAGAGGGATATGATTACAAAAGATTACAGACGGGGTGAGAAAGTATACTTGTGTTTTATGGTTTTTGTCTCAGGATGAAGTATTATATAGTTGTGGGCTACAGAGGATAGGCAATAATCCCTCAATGCTGCACAAAACAAATTTATTTTGCGTGTGTGAAAACACTCGATAAGTAACATGAACCAAACACTTGGGCTGAATGTGAGAATGGAAAGATTTTATTGAATGGTACTAAAGAAACTGATGAAACAGACTGCATTTTAATCTCAAGTGTGGGCGAGAGTAACATGAGTATAGGCAAAAGGAAAACACATCAAAAACAAAATAAAATTATAAAGGACTGTGATATTAGGGAAAGTTCTTTTCCTGAACTCTTTTACAGACAACAAACATTTGCAGGTTTTGTTGAGTTTGGCCACAAATGTTTAGGTAATCCTTTCTTGTTATTGGTTTTGCAGCAAGACTTCAGTGGTAACATGTTACCACATATGCATTTAGTCATAACTGATTATTGCCATTGTGTCAGTATGATCAATACTGCTGTGGCATATGTAGCAAAACTAATGGTCTGAGAGATACAATACAGAACGCTGTCTAGATCTGCAGCCTGAGATATTCTTGTTGCATGCAATTTTTGGCCAAAATTGAATATAATATGTACTGAAACTCATAGGATGACTGAACAACAAGGCAGAAGTTATCATCCTCTCTCCAGATTGGTTAGAGATGTTTTGATATGGCATTAGAAGTATATAAAANGCAAGAGGGATATGATTACAAAAGATAATTTTGTCAGACGGGGTGAGAAAGTATACTTGTGTTTTATGGTTTTTGTCTCAGGATGAAGTATTATATAGTTGTGGGCTACAGAGGATAGGCAATAATCCCTCAATGCTGCACAAAACAAATTTATTTTGTGTGTGTGAAAACACTCGATAAGTAACATGAACCAAACACTTGGGCTGAATGTGAGAATGGAAAGATTTTATTGAATGGTACTAAAGAAACTGATGAAACAGACTGCATTTTAATCTCAAGTGTGGGCGAGAGTAACATGAGTATAGGCAAAAGGAAAACACATCAAAAACAAAATAAAATTATAAAGGACTGTGATATTAGGGAAAGTTCTTTTCCTGAACTCTTTTACAGACAACAAACATTTGCAGGTTTTGTCGAGTTTGGCCACAAATGGTAATCCTTTCTTGTTATTGGTTTTGCAGCAAGACTTCAGTGGTAACATGTTACCACATATGCATTTAGTCATAACTGATTATTGCCATTGTGTCAGTATGATCAATACTGCTGTGGCATATGTAGCAAAACTAATGGTCTGAGAGATACAATACAGAACACTGTCTAGATCTGCAGCCTGAGATATTCTTGTTGCATGCAATTTTTGGCCAAAATTGAATATAATATGTACTGAAACTCATAGGATGACTGAACAACAAGGCAGAAGTTATCATCCTCTCTCCAGATTGGTTAGAGATGTTTTCATTTGGCATTAGAAGTATATAAAAAAAGGAAAGTTTGGCATAGTTGTTTAACAACATCTCATGGCAAACCACATCTTCATAGCGTTGTCTGTTTGCACTCGTGTACACTGTGCACAGGTCCAATTGTCCTTGGAGGAATAGTCATGTTGAGGAATCTTAATGAGGTGTGCTTTCCCACTTAAATTGCAATAGCATCATAACTCCACCTTATTTTACCTACTTGCATTTCTTGGGAGTTGATGAAAAAAATGTTATTGTCTTTGTTTAGCTAGTTTAGATAAACAAATTTAGAAGCCTATAAACCTGATTAAATTAAAAGTGCAGCAACACAGTTGCTCTCGCAAATTTTCAAAAATCTATAAAGCCATTTAATATTCAATCCTTGAAGCATGAGCATTAATCTCACAAGTCACACATGCATGCCCGTGCGCACGCACACGCACACACACACACACACACTGCCCTAATGATTAAGACAAGTCAGGTTGATGGCCTTGTTAAACATGTATCTTACTGCAAACAGTTATCAGCTGCTTAATATCGATTTCCAAGAATATTAAAAAAACCCGTCTGCTTTTTGTGTTTGTGGGCAATTATATTTATAACCTGTAATTATAAACTTATTTGCTAACATTTTTTATGAATCTGTGAAGAGTATTATTTATGTAGAGTTTGTGCATACATCTTGGTCTGTTTAAGCATATTGTGAAGCAATAGAAGTGTTAGATTAATCTATGAATTGATTCAGCATAGCTTTTCTTGTCACTTACGTTTGTGGTCATCTCAATGAACATCAAAAAATAAAACTGTATGCCAATAGCATTATTGAAATAAGTAATGTTGTGATTATCAAAAATGACAAGCAAAACCATGTCTTGTAAATATTTCAGGCCCTTCATCTTGTTTACCTTTCAATATTGGAAGATTTTGTGATTAATGCGATTGTCTTCTTCTTTCACTGTTAGGTAAATCAGAGACTCTGAATCTGTCTTCCGGGACTGTAACATTAGACTACCAATACTTGCATGACAGCTCGGAGCCTGGGCACTTCTGTGGACGATTGGGTAAGGCACTGCTCAGATTGCTTGTTGGGGGGAAGATGTGGATGGTTGGACTGGGGTGGGTGGTGGGATTCACACAAATCTGCAAATTAAGTGTTTCTGAACTGGTTTAGAACATTGAAACTGCACTGTGTCCTGAACATAAGCTCATTTTGGAATTCTTGCATTGAAGCAATAAACATTTGATTGCAGGGAGTGACTTGTTCATCATGTACTGTGGGTTCATTTGGATGTAATATATTAACATCGACTACTTTGTAAATATCTTGGACAATTGTGCTGGTTCTGTGCCTCAGTATGCAATGGCTACCCCTATGAATCTCCCCACCACCACACACAAACACGCACACACTTTTCATCCTGGTTGCTTCAGAATGCTGGATAGGTCTAGTGTATGGATAACTAATACATACTTCAGAATTTTTCATAATGTTGTTGGGCAAACTGGCTCCTATGCTGAAAGGACTGTTTTGATCACCTTTCCATGGCATCATTAACTTTTATTATTTTATTATTATATTAATCTGGAAATTGACAAGTTCAATTGTTATTTTGCGGAATAATTTTCATTTGCCCCCTTCTCTGTTGGTTTACTTATGCAGTAATATTCTTTGTGTGTGTTGGTTTCAGACACCCATGGGGTAAAAAATGAGATTCTTTCTAAACTGTCAGACCTTTTGAAAGCAGCACTCTGTTGGCACAGAAAGCAGGTGGCAGAGAGAGAGGCATCGTCAGTACATCCTACAAGCATGAACCTGTTTTATAGACATCAACACATTCATTTACAGGACGTGCAGGAAGGTAACATTGAAAATCAGCACATTACGAAAAAACCAGTTAAGCCCACCAGTGTTGAAAAATGTTGTGTCTTTGACCTTCAGAAGAGTTGTAATTTGCACATTGTAAGATCTTACTGAATATCATAAAATGAATAGAGCCAAAATGTCTGTTGATTTGCTTTTGTGTTGATTTTTTCAGCATACAACAGTGCTGCCAAGTCATCGGGGGAAGTGTTTGCAGCTGCATTCATACCAGTTGAAAGGCTTACAGAGCAGACAACGCTTCTTACAATTTGGCATTAATTTTACCAGAGATAACATTTTCCATAATAGACAAGTATGCTTTATGCAAAATTTGGCCTGGAAGATTTTATTAGTTCTGATAGCCTTTTAAAATGAGTTGTACCAAAAACTTTTTAGGTTGGTGATTTTTATCTTGTAATATTTTATCTTTGGTGCTCTGTATACCCTGCCTATATTATCAAAATAATCATAGTTTTCCCATGCAGTACATACAACTGGAATTAAATATGTACAACTTCTAAATGTCATTCATATTTTCTATTAGCCAAAAGTATTACATTATACTGTCCGTTCCTCACGTTTCAGTAAAGATTTACATAAAAGCAGCCTCAATCAACATTAGTCGGCAAGGGAGAATTACTGTTGTAAGTGTATTGATATCATATTTGATATGTACAATTTATTTATAAAAAGTTGATCACAGTCTTATATTCTATTTTAGGTAAATTAGATGACACTTGTATAATTGGTATTTCTTGATGGGCAAATGCAATAAATATTGCACAATGTGAAACTGTGGCATTCAGTTGTACATTACTTCTTAGAAAACATTGGAAAAATTATTTTAAAGTGAGTTGTTAGGTAATTTTAGTGAAAAATTTCATTGCTGGAAATCCTGCATGGTACTATGCCTCCCATACATGGTATGTTAGATGTAACTCCTCATTTCTGAGACTGGTGCTAATAAAAAAGGACAATACTTCAATTCACACTTCAAACACTGCTGCTTTATTCTCAGTGAATAACAGTCTAAACATTCCCTAAAGAGAATCAGTGTACAAAAACTAAGAAAATTTGCACAAAGGAAAATGTCAAATAGATAAAACCTTGGCANGGGTGGTGGGATTCACACAAATCTGCAAATTAAGTGTTTCTGAACTGGTTTAGAACATTGAAACTGCACTGTGTCCTGAACATAAGCTCATTTTGGAATTCTTGCATTGAAGCAATAAACATTTGATTGCAGGGAGTGACTTGTTCATCATGTACTGTGGGTTCATTTGGATGTAATATATTAACATCGACTACTTTGTAAATATCTTGGACAATTGTGCTGGTTCTGTGCCTCAGTATGCAATGGCTACCCCTATGAATCTCCCCACCACCACACACAAACACGCACACACTTTTCATCCTGGTTGCTTCAGAATGCTGGATAGGTCTAGTGTATGGATAACTAATACATACTTCAGAATTTTTCATAATGTTGTTGGGCAAACTGGCTCCTATGCTGAAAGGACTGTTTTGATCACCTTTCCATGGCATCATTAACTTTTATTATTTTATTATTATATTAATCTGGAAATTGACAAGTTCAATTGTTATTTTGCGGAATAATTTTCATTTGCCCCCTTCTCTGTTGGTTTACTTATGCAGTAATATTCTTTGTGTGTGTTGGTTTCAGACACCCATGGGGTAAAAAATGAGATTCTTTCTAAACTGTCAGACCTTTTGAAAGCAGCACTCTGTTGGCACAGAAAGCAGGTGGCAGAGAGAGAGGCATCGTCAGTACATCCTACAAGCATGAACCTGTTTTATAGACATCAACACATTCATTTACAGGACGTGCAGGAAGGTAACATTGAAAATCAGCACATTACGAAAAAACCAGTTAAGCCCACCAGTGTTGAAAAATGTTGTGTCTTTGACCTTCAGAAGAGTTGTAATTTGCACATTGTAAGATCTTACTGAATATCATAAAATGAATAGAGCCAAAATGTCTGTTGATTTGCTTTTGTGTTGATTTTTTCAGCATACAACAGTGCTGCCAAGTCATCGGGGGAAGTGTTTGCAGCTGCATTCATACCAGTTGAAAGGCTTACAGAGCAGACAACGCTTCTTACAATTTGGCATTAATTTTACCAGAGATAACATTTTCCATAATAGACAAGTATGCTTTATGCAAAATTTGGCCTGGAAGATTTTATTAGTTCTGATAGCCTTTTAAAATGAGTTGTACCAAAAACTTTTTAGGTTGGTGATTTTTATCTTGTAATATTTTATCTTTGGTGCTCTGTATACCCTGCCTATATTATCAAAATAATCATAGTTTTCCCATGCAGTACATACAACTGGAATTAAATATGTACAACTTCTAAATGTCATTCATATTTTCTATTAGCCAAAAGTATTACATTATACTGTCCGTTCCTCACGTTTCAGTAAAGATTTACATAAAAGCAGCCTCAATCAACATTAGTCGGCAAGGGAGAATTACTGTTGTAAGTGTATTGATATCATATTTGATATGTACAATTTATTTATAAAAAGTTGATCACAGTCTTATATTCTATTTTAGGTAAATTAGATGACACTTGTATAATTGGTATTTCTTGATGGGCAAATGCAATAAATATTGCACAATGTGAAACTGTGGCATTCAGTTGTACATTACTTCTTAGAAAACATTGGAAAAATTATTTTAAAGTGAGTTGTTAGGTAATTTTAGTGAAAAATTTCATTGCTGGAAATCCTGCATGGTACTATGCCTCCCATACATGGTATGTTAGATGTAACTCCTCATTTCTGAGACTGGTGCTAATAAAAAAGGACAATACTTCAATTCACACTTCAAACACTGCTGCTTTATTCTCAGTGAATAACAGTCTAAACATTCCCTAAAGAGAATCAGTGTACAAAAACTAAGAAAATTTGCACAAAGGAAAATGTCAAATAGATAAAACCTTGGCATAAAATGTTAACAAGGCAAGACATTTCAGTAAATGTGCACTAGGTAATGGCAATAAAGCACCAAGCAAAAGACATTTCATGATAAACCAAAGAAGCTCACAAAAACTAGAGTAATAATAATACAAAAACCTGCTCTAAGCTATCAGTCCAGATAAAGCTAAGTGGATTGTTGTATAACGGTGAGTGGACTGTCGTCATAGCAATGATGCCATGGCAACTTCTCCAAGGCAATGGTGCCTTTTGACCATATCAAACGGGATCCAGTTCCTGCAAACATCACATGGGATAACAAGGGAATGTTTAGGTCTTAAATATCAAAGGAAGACCAGGAATTACAAGGGCACCACTCTCTCTCTAGGGATATAGAGAAATGATCATCAAACTTGACTGTTTGTTGAAACGGGTTGATGGTAGAAGTTATGTCACTGGAACACAACAACCACTTTTCAGTATAAACTGAGGTGGTCCCATTGCAGGTTTTTTTCAGACTACCAGAGCAAATTTCATACTGAAAGCGCATTAAAACTATGGCTTGAAATGTTATTGGGATAATGTGTATTTATATCATAATTGAATAACTAGGTTTTAAAACTACTATTGTTTAAATACAACATGATTGAAGGTCTTGAAAACATTAAATGCTACATACCATATGCAACTATCCTAAGACCCTCCAAAGAGAACACAGATGTTATAAAAGAGGTAGCTTTACAATATTTGCAAAGCTGTTAACCCTTAATGTTATTGCAATTGTGAAAATGGTGCTAACACGTACTAATAATAACAATATGAGAAATGAGAAAAAAAACCCAGTAATTTTACCACTTTTCCTGCAGGTGCAATAGTCTACAGACTAGATTCTGAAAACAAAATTCTGTAGGAAAACATTAATTTTCGCTAATCTTATTTTTGCTAAACTGGTATCATTTTATGAGAAACATAAACAAAGATGAAAGTAGCCAAGTTGTAAATTTGTCATTAACCAGTCATTGCATTCCATGGCCCTGACCATTCATCAATTATGTAAATAAATTAAGATTTCTGGAACAATTCTATTTTAATATTTATCTTCCCTGCAAATGAACTATTAGCTAAGGGATGTTGATTTCCAAAAAGGCATATAAATCTACAACATAATTCATTTGCAATTTAAAATAACCATTGCTTTAAGATGAAGGAGGACCAACAATGTGTGACCAGTCACTAATGACAGTATTCTAAATGTCAGTAATTTCAAAATCTGATGTGTGCCTGCTATTTACCTTGATTACCATACAATATTTGAAAACAAGCTCGCACGGGAGATTGCTTTAGACTAAGAAGTCCAAAACCATTTTTTCAAAACGAAGTCAGAAAGTTCATGATCTACCCAAATCGTATCTCTCTAGTGTTTAACAGAGCCAAAAATCTCCACAGCAAATACACAGTCCTTGTGGCATAACTTCACCTTCTAGTATCAATATCGAAAATATGAAACATAAAAACAAAGGATGATTAAAAGGATGAGTGATGGGTTTAAAAATAACTGTGGAAAGAGACGATTAAAAATGTGTACACCTTTGTAACAAGGAGATCAAACATGAGGTACGCAACAGTCCTATAGCTTTCTACTAATAGAAGCCATAAATAATATTTATGTGCTGCAAATATACATAACGCCTGATATAACTCTCTGCTGCTGAAACAATGCAAATTACCCTGCATGTATTAACAAAAATTACAATAATAAGTGACATGGAAACCTATATAATGCATTCACTAGCAATCAAAGGGTGTGAACATTTGGTAATTTTTGATAACTATTCAAAAGCCAATATTAAGTAACTTTGAAAGACACTATTGAAAAGCAATCCTACTGACATAACTGTTTTACTTTGATCTCCTTTTGATTGTATGAAATGTATAATACACGCGACAACTAAATACTACCAGCAAAGACCATATAAATTGGACAGTTAAGTGCGATTTCTTGAAAATTTACAGAAAGAACAGTTTAAAGATTGTTTTTTGTTTAAAAGATTATGTACAACCCTTACACCATTTAACAGACCACAATTCTTTTTCAAAAATAGCAAAAGCTATGTAAAAAGAAAGGAAAGCTCTGATATATCTTAATAACATTTCAGCTCAAATCACTCTTTATGTCAGTACTGCCCTTACACATAACAAGCTGGAAAGAAATGTCATTACTTTGATTATTGTTTTATAAATTGAGCTAGTTCAAAGGCTTCATGGCAGTTGGCAAAAAGGCCACTGCTGGGAGTACATACTTTAATTTTGCTATGTTAAAAAAACTATTTGATAAAGTGCAAATATAGCTTTAGAAGTAATATCACCAAGCCATTATTGACCATAGGAGAAATTAACCATTGCAGAAGGAAAATAAATACAACCAAAAAAACAAAAAAAACAACTAACTACCATGTGAACAACACTAGGGAAATTAGTGACATATTCCATGAATGTAAAATAAAATACACCAGCTAAAAATTTCTCAAGGTATCATTCAAAGAACTGCCATTTGAAAATAGCTAAATGACAGAAAAAATGCCACCAACTTTGTTACACTCTTGATCATGTACAAATTGGTCTTTTTAATCATATAAATGTACAGTATATTTCAAGTCAAATGAAAGACACATAACTACATCAAAATACAACATTGTTTTTTTTTAACCCTTATGGAAGATTTTTCTTTTTAAAAACTAGGTGCACTAGAAAAATACTGGATGGGTAAGTGTGATACTCGTAAATACTGACATAAACCAGAGATAATAATAATAATAAACGCAGTGAAAATAAACACAGCAAAATGTAAACTAGATCATAAAAGGGGTGGGGCTTTTACAACCATTGCACTGTGCCACTAATAATGTATAATTAAACAAACATATTGTGTGTCAACAAACAAAATAACAATCAAATGAAAAAACAATTACCTTGTCAGATTGGTTATAACATAGAAGTAGAGCTCTACTTCCATGGTTATATGTAAAAAGTAAAGTCTGTTTTGTCAACATGTGTGATATAGTTACTATTGTCAGTTATAAATTTTTAAAAACATTTATTGATTTAGTCTTATATCAAAAGAAGAAAATATGCCTTACTCAAATTATGCTTCTATAATTACTGTTCTTTAAACTCAGACCACCGATATGTGCAATTTTTAAAAAAGTCTTTAAAACACTGACATACATTTAAAACTTAGTTAACTGTGATTTCCATTGCAAAGTGTAGAGACATAAAATTGAGTGATTTAAATAATTGGGACTTGATCACAATATGACATTATCACTGCAGTCATATGTTTCACTTCTTCAAAACTACAGATTATTGTGTTTGGTGCTGGCCTGTTAACACTTTGCAACTTACATTTACCTTTATACAGTACAGAAATATACAATAATTTTGTGATACCCAGTGAATGAATTTAAGGTATTTGAGTGTTTAAGAAACAACACTGCATTTAGATGAAAATTAGGTGTGTACAGGCTGCAGCTGACAATCACTATTCTCAAGATACCAGTGCATTGTCCATCCTCATTTTGTTTTCTTTTGTGAACAGTTCTTTTTTTTTTTTCAGAAGTCACCACTCTTCATCACAGTCATATTGTCTCAATCTTTCGTGCAATACATCAGATTATATCTGCATGTCTATTGGACATGTTCATATTACTCATGCTCATACATAGTCTGGACCTGATCATCACAGGCATTAACAGTGCACTTGCTCTCTGTTGCCTTATCAAAGGTTGACAGAAGTTACCAATCTAAGGGTAAACACAACAGGGGACCCAGGGTTCTTAAAACCCTGGAATTATACAATAACTTTCAAATGCCGATAACAACACATAAAAAACCCATAGTCCAACAAAGAACACAGTTGTTGGTAGCTTGAATTTGTAAGGCCCACCCAACTCTCCTCCTACGAATGGCCTTCTTCTAATTATTAATATCGCAATTGCAACGGCTGCAAATATGCAAAACATTGTGACAGAAAAACCCAGAGATCCAGGCTTCACGACAAATGGCTCTCCTCTGGCCAGGTGGACAGCTGCTGCAATGGTCCAAGCAATACCAATGCCCAGGAATACATTCACAGCATTGCTGCCGGTAACATTACCAATGGAGGCATCTGCATACTTATCTTGAATTGTTGCCACTTTGCTGGCAAAAGTATCTTAAAAGATAAAAAAATGGAAGAAAAAATTATTCCAGCAAAGTTATCCATCAACAAGTGAAAAATATAGTTGGTTCTAATACTGTTGCAACTTTACTAGCAAAAGATTTCTTACAAAAATATGTAAGTACAGGGCAAATATAATTTAGTCCCTTAGAAAATATTAGGCCTGTAGCAAAGGTTTTTCAAAAATTTGCTGCAAATTAGCAGCAATACAAATTTTTCTTGCAAAATCCTTGTCGCAAACTTTTCTTGTTGCTATAGCTTGAATTCAATATTTTATGAATGTAAGAATTCAATTCAATAGAAAAAGTTTAAAATGCATCTGAAATCAGTCTTGTCCTAATTGCCATTGGGGACCAATTTTGCCAATCAACAGCCTGGAGAAGCAATAATGGATCTGGACTTTGAGGTTCTCTGGCAATAAGAGCAAAGAACCCTTGGTGCTTGTCACTTGCTGTCATGGCAGATAAAGAGAGAATTTCAAATTCAGTCTTAATCTGACTAATGGTAAATTAGCAAGTGTTCAAGGCTTTCAATGAACCCCAATATATCTTTTACTATAATTCAGAACCAGACTGCCGATTTTGGTCAACTGATCGTGAGTTTTTGGTGCAAAACTTTTCCAAGCCATGATCTGGGAACGGCATGTGCAAGCTGTTTCTCACCTGGAACACTTGTACCCAGAGCAACAAATGATATTGCTGTAACTGTGTCCTGCAGACCAATGGTACAACCCAGATGTGAGGCCAAGTCAGTGATGAACGCTGTCAGGACACCAATCATCAGGATTGATACAACAAACGCAGCCCAACCACCAAGGTAATCTGGAAAAGATATGTATATATATTTATTTATTCATTTATTCTTGGGACACAAGTTCATCATTACAATGACCATGCCCTGACAATATATTCTACAAATATGGCACTTAAAGTTCAATAGCCATGATATGATAATATTGCATCATATAAGATATTAAAAATCAACACTCTACATTCAATAAATATACTTATTAATTACTATACATATGATTAGTAGAGAGGCTTGCAATTAATATAATAGCGTTCACATGACAGGGGATTCCAGCAAGAGAGGGAATCCAGAAGCACACAGGTCTGATACAAAAATATAAAATTCTTCCTATCACAAAACTGTAGCACTTACATGACATAAAACAATCAATTATCGTCATTATAGATTATACAGGCCAAACACATTTCAGGACCATAGCTGGAGGGAGGAGGGACGGGGGTTTCAAACGAACTGCCCTGTTTTGCCACAAATAGGTCTGCTCTGGGTAAAAATTGATCTAGGTACACAAAGGTTTCATGGTAAATTTAAAAAGATCCAGTTTCTCAGAAAAAGAACCCCCCTCCTTTGAAATTGCTGGCTATGGGTCTGCATTTTGTAGCTAATTTTCGAAAAACACTGTGCGATGTTCAACATGTATGTTACCTGTAGGCGGTGTAGTGCAAGCAAAAAGTAACTTCCAGAAAATGGTCAGGAAGTGCATGACATAATCCAAGCATGAGGGCAATTTCTCCTCTCCTTCCCCATCATCATCATCTCCTGAAACATAAAAAAGAAAACAATAACAAATTTGTATCTGTAACCATCATTATTTACATCTGCATTACAATTATAACACAAAATAACACTAACTTTAACCAAAACCACTCATTTCCCCTTTTGTCCTTATACCAAATTTTTTGGTTTCAACAATTTTGGATCAGGCCAGGCCAGGCAAGGGATGTTTCAATATGTCATTTTTAAATGTAAGATTTGTAATTTTAAAAGAAATGGAATAAAGCTGATATATTCATGTCCAAGATCGGTGCTAGGTTATACTGTCATCAAACATTTTCCAACAAGGCAAGACTGCTAGTGTACCAAAAGACATCAATAACCATTTGAGTTCAATTAGATTAACTTGCTTCCCACATATTATTTCTAGGACCAATATTGGACCTTAACTTGATAAAAGTAAACAGACAGGATTTCAAGGAACTAGACAAAATATGCTCATCAATCAATGCAAAATATATTTAGATCAAATTTAATCAACAAGCTCTGCAGTAACAGGTGACTATAAATTTGTGTACATGGGTCGGTCTATTATTCATGGCATAAGGGCATCTTGATTGTTCTGAAAGGTTATTGGTTTGAAGACTCATTGATACCAAGGTTCTATAATCAAAAGGTACATTGTTCTGAAGTCAAAATGTTTGTTGGTCAAGATGGTTATAGTATGTTTGTTTGATGGTTCACTGGACTGCACTAAACTGATATCAAAGGAAACTGTTGGTCCACTGAACGTTTGGACTAATATATTTTGAAAGCCTCAATATTTCCCCTATTTGAGATCAATTTGCCTTCACACCAAGGAACCAATTAATCTTATATGGATGCACTTAATGTTAAGCTACTTGTTTACAATCTTGGTCTCTATATATGAATAAGTAAAATCATAATTTTTTAAAACATGAATGTTATTCTACTTATAATGGACTTTTCATTGAAATGTCACACAGACAATGATATGGCTAGATCAAATTTCTGCAATCTTCAACATTTTTAGAGATATATTAATCATCATTTAAACTCAATCTTAAAATCAAAATGTCCCTGATTTAACCACTATAAAACACTGACAAGAAAAATTCTGCTGACATACAATTTAGATGTTCTATGAAAATCAATGATCTTAAAAGCAATAAAAAGTACAAAGTGTCACAAAACAAACAAGGTACTTTTGAAGGCCATGATCATTCGACTCATTCAAATCTACTGTCAAAAAGCACTATGCAGTATTGGACAGCACAAAACTTGATCAAATCAAAAGGTTTAGTATTAAGCACTGCCATTCTAATTCTAATAGTATGGATGTCCAGGAAAACTATTTTAGATAAATTACCACAAACACACTTGACTTGTTCCAATAGTGACCCCCATGATTGCAATAATGAAATTAATATCCTGCCTTTCTCTATATATTATAGTAAGAATCAGTACTATATATATATATATATATATATATATATATATATGAAAAAAATTGTAACAGAACATATATTTATAAAATATTTTGTAACAAGGATAGCAGAATATTAACAGAAGAAACACCTGACCAAAAAATAAAGTCATATAAAAGAAATATACAAATTCTTCTTTCAATATAGCATTGTCTTAATTCAAGAGGAAGTTTTCGGAAGCCTTGCAGGACAAGGTTGAAAAGCTAATATATACAGAAACATATTTACTAAAATATACGGGAAAGGTCTGTCAGGCAAATAAATAATCTGTCACAAATATATATTACAAGAGTCATACCTGCTGATCTACAGCATGCTCTAGATGTATATTCTTTTATTGTATAAATAAAAGATATTTCAAAGCAAATAAGTCACACTAATTCAAAACATGACAGAACATTTGCCAAATGACTAGCAAGGTTACAATAAGGTTTCTGTCAGATATTTCAGAAAAATCTAATGGCTTCATGTAAAGCAAGAACTGCTGTGTGGTTTGTTATCTCACACACAATGTTAGGTTTAGTGCATGGGATCCCCATTTTGTCTTGAAGGGAGCTTTTCATCAAAATCGTTAAGCTTGAAATCCACAGAGATTTCATATGACATGGCAAATGATGGCAATGAATAGAAGATCATTAATCACAAAAACAGAAAAAAATACAATTTATATGTCACAATTTAGGTTTTTCCTGAATGTTTCCAAAAGGTTCTTTCCAGACCATGTAATGTTTTCAAGGCCAATTTTCAAAATGAAATGCTGTTTTCTTTATCCTTTAAAGGACAACTACAGGAATTATGTGTGAAAGCAAGTTATATGCCATGACAGGACCCTACTGATTGTTATGCAGTTAGTACCATTGTTCTTAAAGGGTCTAATTGGCACTTCAGTTCAGGCAGTAATCACAGTAACAAAAACTGAAACTTAACTGAAATTACTTAAAATATCATTAACATTATATCAAAAATAAAACAAATGAATGACTGATAGAGCATACAGCACATCCATCCATAATTCCTTCCATGCTAATTTGCCAACTATGACAAAAAGCTCTATGCAGGATATATAAGAGGACTTGGTGCCATTTGTTCTCAGAGCTGCATGATGCTTATCAGTGCTTTGATTCAGTGCTTTGATTCCATACTTTACCAGCAGACGACCACCCGGCACCTGAGATTCAGAGAGTACTGACAGTGACTTTCCTGCACCAGCATATATACTATCCCTGTCACAAATTTTGATGTTGGTAACGAAGTGGTATGATGACAACAGAGGTGATTGATACTCGGGGTGCTAATCATGGGGTCTACTGGAATTTCTTAGTCTATAGCTGTTAGTCTATAGCTAGTTGAATTAAGTTAGCATGCTATATAGAATTCTATGTTATAATATTATACACACGTGGTGACCCAATATCCTCCAAACTTGGATATGCTGAAAAGGTTACACAGATCCAGTTGTTTACAGTTCAGCTTGGTCATCAGTATCATTGTATGCTGATTGGTCAAAGTTGCCTTCCAAAAATGCAAGCCCATTTAATGTTAAAAAGTGACATATAACCCTTATTATTTCAGCATCCTAACTGAGATTCTGAAGCCCTCTAAAAAGCCGTATACTTTCTGTTGCCAACAATTAAGAGGCTAGAGGTCAGTCAAAATCAGCGCTCTGAAACTCAGCCATTTTCACATCGAACGGTATATACAACGAAGTCAAACAAACCCCCGCACAATGCACTGCCATTTAATCAACCTAGCCAAACAGCAGGAAGTGAACTTTGGGAGAATTTGTGAAAGGGAGTCAAAATCCTTGTAGCTTTTTTTTAACAAGTTTGGACCTCTCAAAGTGGACTGGTTCAGTTAAATGTACCACTGGAATTGAAAACATCCTGAAGGTGGCAGGTGTGCTTGTGCCTAATAGCAACTTCTTAATCCTTCTATCCCATGCAACCCTGACCAATTCACATACATGTTAGTCAATAAAAAAGACAAATAGAGTTCCTGAAATTGTTAGTTGTCATGTTTGTTATTACATCATACCAGGATTTCAATAACTGACTCTTTTAAATGATTACATATGTATAAACCTGTTAAGATATTCATATAAAATGTGGGTGGAATAATTGAAGTGTCTGGAGGTTCTGAATAAGCCACAATATCACTCCTGCCAAACACAAACAAATAAATAAATCAAAATTTTCAAAAATTTTTGTAGAAAAAAATGATATAATATCATAATTTTTGCCATTTTCAATGAAGTTTTTTCTCAGTCAATCACCTGAACAATATGACAAAATCCTAAACACACTGGTAGTGTGTTTATGACCAGAAATTGTGACTATTTATAGTGGGTTTCTTAAATAATGTGTCTTGTATAACCAAAGTGGGTGTTGTTTGCATCATACAAAATTGATGTCAAATCATCCAATTAAGGAAACAATCTCCTATCATTCTGAAATATTTCTAGTCAGCTAAAATGTTTCTTTTTGCCTATTAAAAGAAAATTAATATATCAAGTCTTTTTCATGCTTATCCATCCATAACTTGACTCCAAGTTTTAAAATGTTTTAGATGGTGATAATATGACAAAATGCTTGCTTTAGTCAAAGGGTGTTTATTCTTTCTCAGTGTGTCCTAACATACACTATCCTAGATCTTATAATCCAGAGAGTAACAGTAACTGAAGACCAGGATTATAAAAAATCAACTTTTTTCCAATCATATTGCCTGTCAAGGACGTCACACTTTCGTGACTGATAAAACCAAGAATTCTATACGGCTGATATGTAGCAGTTGGTGCAGACTTAAAGGCCATGATAATATTTACATATTCTGTGTTCATTCAATTATGTATGAAAGCACATGATTCTGGTCAACAAGGATAATAATCATGAGCTCTACACCTACAGAAAGCATGTTTATTGGTTTGCCTGCATCAAAGATAATTAAAAAATAGTTCTTAGTCAAAATGAACAGTTTAACAAGATGGATCACAGGCAACACTCAGAAAACTTATAATTTATTGACCATTCAATCAAATTGAACATGTCAAAGTTTTTTTTTTTATTATTATAATAAGTCTAAAATCAAATTTTTAATCTCTTTTCCATAATTATTTGAAAGCACAACTCACCTGCACTGACACTGATGGCCTCGAGAACCTGTTCTTTCCACGATGAAGTACCAATGAGAACTGCCATGTTGGCTTTCTTCAACAGCTTGTCTACTGTGCTCTGTAAAGAATATTTATCTTAAATATTATGCAAACATGATATCATCATAATGTAAGTAGTAGCAAAATGTGTTGGAAAGTGAAAAAAATTTTGCTAATCACAATCAAAGGCACACAATCACCCCATGTTGTGATAAGTTATAACTGCATACAATAAGAAAGTATTCTGAATACAATAAGAAAGTATTCTTTTGTTTTTGGTATTACCACTATGAAAACCACATTAATGATTAATCTGAATATTCTGTATGCAGGTAATGGTCTTAATGAAAATTGTACTGAAAGCAAATAAGCACAGAACTATGTACATTACAATAATGATATAGATTTACAGTACTTTCAAATGTTCTTTAAAAAACGTTCTTTTGTACAATTTGTATAATAATTCACAAGGTTCAACAGAAGACATTCTCATATGTCAGTTGCATATATGAATAAGACTGACACATGAAGTTCCATGAGCTCTTAAACATTTTTTCGTAGATTTATTCCTAACTGGAAAGCATTATTATAGAATAGTTAAAACATTTACCATATAAACAATGACTGAACTGTATAAATGTATACCACCTCAGAACTTGTATTTTGTATATTTGGTAGAAAAAAGAAAAAGCACCAAACATAAAAACTGATATTGTACATAAACACTGTTCTCTGGGGTATGAGATAAGATTATAAAATCCCAGTATTTGTCTATCTCATTAATCAGCAGAAAAATCTTCTGTAATTGCCCTCAGACAACTATTACTAGCTAATATATGAAGTTGCCAAACAGCCATGTTTATTTCTGAATAAAGGAATAAGATTTTGTCTACAAAAATCAAATTTCAACAATGTTCTTTTTCCACGTGGTATTTTAATTGTCTCCTGTTAAACCCCAAATGGAAGTTTAGAAGCTAAGTAGGTTTTAAAGACAAACTAAACAGATTATGAACAAAACGTAAAAAAAATGAACAAAATGAAAACAGAGAGCATAGTCATCATTCTTAAATTGTGTCACTCTTCATACCATTTCTGTCTTACCAGTTGACTCCATTATGTGTTTGACTTTGTTATCAAAAAGTAGAAGAGAACAATATGCTTGATGACCCAAATGTTGCATTCATTGGCTTTTTAATCATTTCAAAGAACTTGGACAGACATGACTTTTATTCAGTAGATCAATAGCATTTACAATACAAAAAAAGCAAGAGTATTGTTTAACAGTCTGGCATACATTTCTCTTGGAAGTCAAAGTAGCTAACCATTTACACCTGCCCTTTTAAATTTGCAATCTCGAGTTTCACTTGTACTGTTACAGTAATAGTTCTTCCTAGAACTCATGCCAAATAAATGGTAAAAACCATATTTGGGGCATAATCTGGATAAATCCTTTGGATACACTTTCAAAACCATTTGTAGCATATTCATCCTTGTGAGCCTATAGCTGTAAAAACAATTAGTCCTAAAACAAATCTTCTTGATAAAAATCAGAACTAAAACACCTCCAAAAACAGACAGAAAATCAATTTTCTGACAAAATACAAGGTTTCAACACAATATTGACCCAACACTTATTTTGAGAACTACCTGTATTAAACTGTTGATCTCTTCTATAAACTAAAGCATCAAAGGAGAGCATCCATTTTCCGTTTGCATATCAAGAATTGATCATCCTAGCATATCAATGACACAGAAAAGGTACAACAAAACCAAAAATGTTTATTTGAATGACTTAAGAGAAAAAGATCATTACAGAATATAATGTTAGACCAAAACTAATATTTAGTCAACTTATCATTTGAAATTTAGCGGCACGTAGGTTTATGTGTTCATGCACAAAAGCACTACTTCTCTACTTTATTTTAATAGACAAATTGGGCAACAGCAGTTCAGAAATACTGTTGAATCAATATGATGTCATCAGCTTATTAAGGCGGGCACTTAGTGTGATCAGTACATGGAACTAGTGCTTAACTAGGAACTCCATTTACCCCAACCCAAAGAGTAATTATTAATAAATATTAAATATACTATTTCATGAATCATAAATGCACAATGTATATCTGAAACTATAATTACCCATGTTCTATCAGCTGAAATAAGCTTTGGTAAGAAACTGAACAACAGAGGTAGCAGATAAAATCAGCATAATTTTTTAAAAAATCTTTCCATATTAATTTAAATTTTATCACTGGGAAGAAAACTGCCAAAATGGAGAAAATGGCTACTGCATTTGAGATGACTTCATATAGATTTTGCCCGAGGATGATCGAATTAGGGGGTATGGAGGAGGTTCAAGCTGAACTACAAGACCATTCGGGATCGATCTAACAGGATCGGTCCACCTCCAAGGGGTCACGCCTAATTGCAATTAACTTAAGCAGCTAAGATGTCTGTCACGCCTACTGAAGCTGATAGGGGGTAATTCACTCTTGTTTAGCAGTTTTAGTAGGCTTTCCAGACATCTAAGCCACTTAAGCTGAAAACAACTTAGCGAGAAAGCCCATGGAGATGGACCAATCCTGTTAGATTGATCTAGGATTGGAACCCAGTCTAATACTTCTGGTTAGCTGATAATGGTAACACTGGTTTTATTACTGCCAAAAAAAAATAAACACCTTCAAGTATTTTATGAAAAAGCTACGCCATGATCCTTTATAATCACCTGAAAGATGAAAACAACTGAAAGATCAGATGATTGCCATTTGGATTCTTTTGGAATAATAACACCATATTTATTTTCAACCTCTGAGTTTAACCATTGAAAAAAGTGAAAGAAACTCCCAGGAGATTACCCGGTACCTGTTTTAAGTCATCAGTAAGCATGTGGATAATTTCTGGTAACAACTAGGTAAAAAAAGTATTCAACTGTCAATTTTAATGACCAAAAACTGTAGCTATAGGCACATTTTTTACTAATGAAAGCTTTTATTAATGGTATAAATGGTAACCATTTTGCATCGAAACAGTTTTGTAAATGACTTCAATACATGAATCAGATGAAGGCCTTGAAGGTATGCAATAAAAAGTCTGTTTTGTAGTAAATTTTGCTCTAAAATTTAGTCTCAATAACTGGTACTGGGTGGATGGTATATTACAGATCTTATGTGATACCATCATGCCTTAGATTTCTATATCCAGTATATCAGTTGTCCATTGATATCAGACACAGACATATTTTGGACTGATTTGATCTGAGTGCAACCTGTGTAAAACATTCCCATTTTCAGAAAAATGCAGATAGGCAGGAAGACAGGCAATTACTGAAACAGTAGACTGATTCTTTTAATGAAATTACAGAACAAATAGACAGGCCCATATAGGTAGTTTAATATCATGTAACCTCCCTTTATTTTGAAGGGGAACAGCAATATGATTAGATTTCAGAAAGTGCTTGATCACATGGTAGATGGAATTACTGTATAAGTTTATTGAATTCAAATCAGGAAATCCGACTCAACAAAATCCTATTGAGAAGAGGAAATTTGAGAAAACAGAAGTCATCCAGCTATACTAGAATGTTACAGCCCACACAACAAAGCACAGATCCAATTAAGCCAGCACAAACTGCATGAAGACATGTTTTCACCTCAGCAACATAAACCTTTGATGACAAACAACCCTCAACAACAATCACATCCATGTGCAAAAATAGAAATTAATCTCCATTTTCCTCAGATTAAATTCAGTCTTATTTGCATCAAAGTTTCCAATTTCTGTTCGTCTGCATGGCCGGCCTGGTCAGTAAGCATGCCTAATTAATAAGAACGTGAACAACTAAGTATCCGAAATGACATGCTATGTATCTAAAATTGATTTTCATCGATTCTCCGCCATTCCATAACCAGGATTCTTGGAAAGAGTGGATGAGGGATGTACATGTATCTGGTTAATCCCCCCACCTCATTACTTGTAACATCTAGTTTGTACATGTATCTGCTTCAAGTTACACTTACGAGTACAATTCAGTCAAAGAAATTCCAATTTTCTTTCACTGCAGGCAAGCTAGAAGCTAACAAATTAACTAGAGTTTTTTTACAGATTTTTTTTAGTCTAAAATTTAGTCACTTTTGATCAGTTGTTTACACCAATCATGTTCCACAATAATGAGATGCCCTAGAACACAGACCATCTCAGCAATTTTTTCATTGACTGAGTTTGATGTTCATTTGGAATTATACCTAAATGATCCATATGCTTGAAGATTTTTGGGTATGCATTTCGAAGGAAACAGAGTGAAAAATATGACGCTTAAAACAGTTTGCATACTGGTTTTGTGACTATTCACTATAATGGTTTTCTCGCCCTGCAGTTAACAGAATGTTTTTATTGATAACTGATGGTCAACTCTCTCAATTAGATTAGGATTTCTTGCTGGCTTAAATAATTTTAATAAATGTAGCTTTTTGACATGTGTGGCTGTATTGTGCTTTTGTTAGGAACAGATACAAATAACCAACTTACCTGGCCATGGTCATCACAAATACTGTAAGAAGAAATAATGTCAATATCTTAAAAAACAACAAAAACATCATACCCCTTGAACCCATCAGAGCATATTTTATACCTTAAATTCCTGGCTCTCATGAATTCGAACAACAGTGTGAATTTTTTCTCCAAGTCGCGGTTTGCCGAGCATGGCGATTTTCTGGTCTTCCGTCATTTGATCAATTGGTGTAGCATCCTCCAATTCAACTTCATTGACATCAGCGTCTTTACCTGAAGATAATATGCAACAATTTATCTTTTACACTTTCACAAGTTTATCTTTCTTACTTTTTTTTTTCTTTTGACAAGACCAAATTGGTTGAATCAAGTCTTTCAGTATCTTGGAAAAAACTTTATGCCACCTTCAACATGGATTTGATGTGTTCAAGAAACCTTACATTGCCCTTATCCTAAAGAAATTGTTGCTGTACAGATATTGCTTCATTTTTACTTGAACATATGTGTATCCAAAATTAATCATAATAAATAATGTGCTCAGGTGTTACTCTGACAGGGAAGAAGATACCCTTAGGCCCTACAACGTGTCATATTTGCTATGATCTTGTGTACTACATTGATAACGAACCATCAGAACACTAAAACATGTCTATAACAAGACTGAACCTTGTAAATATTTTGTTCATGTAAAAAAAATATTGCAAATGTATTTTTGTGAGGGAACCTTATATTCTTTGTGCAAATCTCATCTCAACATAGAAAACAAATTTATAAAAATAGAAACAGCATTATTGGGAAGTCAATCCTTAGAAAAAAATAATTTGATACTTTTCCATCTATAAAGTAAACACAAACACCTAAAACAAAATTTTCATACCAAAAAAGCTTTTGTTTTAAAACCCAACAAGCAGAAAAGGCAATAAAGGGGAAAAGGTAATGAGGCAATAGTGCAGAAGGGATCCCAAAAAGCTATCTTAGCAAGAATTTAAGTTTTCATGTAATAGAAACAATATCATCCTAAGGTGAAATGGTGTTCCTTATTTGATAATTGTGTACCACACCATGCATTCTTATTTCACTGCAAAGTGGCAAAACAGGGAGTAAACAACAGATGCAAAATTAATAAATAAATAAATTATGTAACAATATGAAACACCTTTTGCTTTATTTCAGATGAAACATTTATATTTAGGGTTAAAAAAGAATCCAGCATTAATATATTATAAAACCAAATTTACATGATAATGTTTTAAGCAGTTAGAATTTAAGTTTTTTTCTTCAAAGTACAAAGAAAATAGTATATTATTAGGTAAGCATAGAAATATCCCTTAAAGAGCTTCAGTACACATGTAAAAAGTAATAGGGTGTTTGGGCCACGTGTTAGGAGTTCCAATTTTGAATGACAAATGTCCAGGTATCAGTCATGGAACTAGGGAGAAGGCAGAGGCAAGGTCAGCTAGAGCACTTAGTTATAAGAACACCAACATGCAAAATTGAAATTAAAGTCAACCAGCAATCAATTTTGTTGTAGAAATCGACACAAACTGCACCAAAGAGGTACTAAGTGGCACCAGTACCATGCATTTTGGTCAAGCAAAGGTTTAGGGGCAATTTCGTACATTGGGGAAGATTTCAAATTCATACTTAAAGATGTATGAAAAGGTGATAATTAAAAGAAGAAATGATGGGGAAGGGGAGATGTCATGATTAGAATGGGAGTGGTTAGTCATGACCTCTTTGCTTGACCTCTTGTGCTAATATAACACTGCATTGATAGTAAATCGATGCTAAATATAAGTATCAGCTGCGACTACAAATAAAAATAAAATAAAATAAACAGCATAATAAATAAAAAAAAATTAATCATAAAAAGTGACACAGTTCAGTTCAGCTTTGTTTAACCAGCAATAAAAGATAGATATCATATTAAACAATAGTGATAATTTGTATATGATATTTTTCAAGAGCAGAGATTTTTTTTCCTAATGAACAGAGAAAAGTTGCATTTGACGTGTGTTCAATTTAACAGCCTGTCAGGCAATTTTTAACTTATCTAAGCCTATCTTCAACTGCTGGTTAACTGAGTGTGTGGTAAAAAATTAAATAATTAGGAAGACAAGAAAATGTCCACATTTAATATTAGTGCCTGCTTGTCATTGTGCTCTACATGTCTCCTCAATACTCAATACCTGATTCCGAATCTTCAGAGTCCACTAAATTAAAAACAAAATAAAATATTTTCTAAGTTAATTATAAAGTAAAAAAAATTGTTTCATGAAAATTATGCTTTAATCTATTTCACCAACTACATGTATTTAACCCTGGAAGTGAAAGTTCCATTCTAGTAATTAACCACATGCAATGTCTACAAAAAGAAATAATTACTCCAATCTCCTAATATAAATAATTAGTCCTGAAATTGCAGTGTATCATCCAAAACTTTTCATGGGGACCCCATTTAATAACTCCACCAAATATACGCATAATGATGTCAACCTTTTGGAGTGAGAGAATAAGGAATATATTCCAAAGCAGAGGCATAGAATAATGTAATAATCCTAAAAAAGGAAATGGAAAAGAGCTTATAATGTCACACTGTCTTGAAAAGCTACTAAAGATGCTCTCATTAATCCAACACACATTTTATTCTTTCTAAAAAGCAACCACCTTCTGAGACAATGTTCTTATAAGATTTATTAAGATTTAATTAGCTAATGCCATTTCCAAATTAAGCCAATAAATAAACTCTATCTCAGTCATTTGACGTGTGTCGGTAACTTATATATACATCTATGTAAATTCAAAGGAAACATGAAAACTGATCACACACACACACACACATCCACACACACACATGCACACCCACACACACATGCACACACACATTCAGAACTTGGCCAGCAAATGTAAAGACAGAAACAAAATATGTTAACTACAATAACACAAACAGTCAGCATGTATAAGCCACTGGCAAATAAAGGCTTAGTTGGTAGCCATACCAAGAGCATATCAGATTTGCCCTCAGAGTAAATGTACTAATTAACGAGTTATCTAATAAAGCAAGCAAAAGAGAAGCCCCACTGGATAATACTGGGTGTGAATACTGGCAGGAACAGGACTTCATAGAACTGCTGGCCAATACCAATCAAGGAATGGGATAAATCCAGCCAAAAATTGTTGTCACCTCCCCGGGTGTATATTGTGGTAATTTGGGGTAACACATGTAAAAACATGAATCATACAATTTTATGAAGAGGATGGATTTGTGCTGAGACCAGCCATTTGCCAGATTGAAGTGAAGGGCAGGCGAAGGCTCTACACTGTGATTCAGTTCAGAATATATGTAGTTTCTTTTTAACTGCAAATAATCTATAAAACTCTTACAAAATTCAATTTGTGATTTTTTTTTTTGGATAAGAAAAGCTTATCAGTGCATCAAATCATATAATATCACATGATGAATTTTGACTATAGCTACAGGTGAGATGGGGCTTACTTTTATCAATAACAGTGAAACAATGTCGTCTCAGCAAAAGTAATACAAAAAAAAAAAAAAAAAAAATTCACAGAGCTTAAGAGAAAAAACAACAAGCAAAATAACCATGGACAAATTATGTCAGTTTTTCACTACAGTTGCTAGTCTTTTCATTATTTCTGACCCCACTCTAGCTCTTCTGAATATCATGAAATAATGCTCGATTTTACATTAACTTGCAACACTCTGTGTTAGCTTGGATGATTTCAATTCAGATGACAGGTTCTTTTTTAAATCTTCAAGCTGTTCTTAATTGCCTTTTTTTCAGCCTTTATCTACTGAATCTCCAACAGGCCACAGCTTACTCACTGCTCCAAACAGCTCCAACACCAGGCTCAAGGGATGTGTTTAAATTGACCAATTGAATAAAAGAGAGATATTCTTTTTTTTCCCCATGCACATTAATTAAGTACTTGCTTGTCTTGGTAGTCTTTGATTGAGCTGGTAGGGGAATAAATGATATGATTGCATCTGTTGGATCAATACACTGCTTATCAAAACAAATCCTCAAACAATTTTTGTATCAAATTGGCAATTTCCGACTTTGCTGAACTTTGCTCAATAGCTCACTTAAACAGAAACTAAACAACTTTTGGAAACAAAATGAGCGAAAAAGGACATCAATCAATGGTATTAACAAGAGAGAAAATTAGCAATTTTGGCACACTTCTAAGACTTTGTGTTTTCCTTCCATGATAGTAAGTCAAAAGGAAAACATGCTCACGCTCTTAAATATATGTCCATGTAAGTGGTGTGCAAATATAGTTAAGATTACAAACACTACATATGCATCCTTTTCTGTAAACCTCTTCAAGAGAGTTATCAACTAAAAACAGACAAAATTTTCCAGTTATCAGAACTACATGTGTTTATGTTTCAACCAAATCACACAGTAAGACACAATTCTTGAATCCTGCTGAACAGAATCCCCAGACTTCATCATTAGTGGGTATTTTTCTAAAATTTGTTCCCTTAACTGTTAACATTAAGTGTACAGAAAAACAGATTTCCAGAATTCTGAATGCATTTGTAAGACAATTGTTTTAACATGTATGGTTTGTTCCACCCAGCCTATTTATTCAACCTAGGTGTTATAGCTGCCATTCAGCACATCTCCACCTAGGATACTTCGATCAAGGGCTATTATATATTTATGGGCTTACACATATCAGACTTCTGGGAATGAGAGCATTTGCTACACCTGAGCCCAATAAGAAAACTAATAACATTTCTACAGTTTTCTAACTCAGTGATAGCATTGCTGATAACAAGCCCCCCCCCCTCCACCCCTTTCAAGTCCTTTACCCTACTAGTAATTCACACATTGCCTGAGCTTTTTTTTATTATTAAAATATGAATCATAATTAAAGTGTGTGTGATTTTTTTACAGGAACTGTTCTGTTTGATGCCATAATATATGTGAATTTAAAGTTGATGACCAGCATGCTTTAAGCATAGCCCATATTGCAATACATCACCCAAAACTCGGATCAACTGGGGTAGGTTTTTCAGGATAATGAAAGATGATATTTTAAACCAAACGAGACTATGTTTTATAAGCCATGTTTTTTTGTCAGCAAAGCCCAGGTTACCAGCCTGTTTGTCTAGTAAATCCATTAAGACAGAAATATAGCAGAATGAATAGCAGAAAAAATTTGAATAAAATCAATAGCAGACATATTTTGAATAGATCTTTGAATTCCCTCGACCTTTATTTACCAGAAAAGTACTCTGTGGCCATTCTTAGAATAACCTAGCTTTTTTTTTTAACCTCAGTGTAATTTCTTCGCACTGTATGTAAAAAAAAAAAAAAAAAAAAAAAAAACTGAACAGTCAAAGCATTTTACCAAATTATATTAGTTATGAACAACACCATACAAATATCCCACCTATTACCCCATTCACACTACAGTTGCAAAAATGCGCATTGTATAATTCGAATTTTTCGTGAGGAATTCGATTGGGTATTGCGTTCACACACGCGAAGCGAAACCGAATCACACGTTGAAAATTTCAGGTTTAACTTCCTGTTTTGAACACTTGCACATGCGCCGCACAGGAAATCTTTAAATACCAACAAAAATTTGTGACGACAAATGCAACTCAAAAGACTTTCCAGCATTCTTGAGAAGTACAAGATGGCAAAATAAGTTTGTTTCCTCATGTTGTAGTGAGTGGTGACCTCCAAATACGTTTGGTGCAAGCGCTAAAGTAATTAAACAAGCGTTCATAGATACCCCCACTTATCTGCACACATGCGCAGTAAGATCTGTACAGGTGTCGATTCCGGTAAGTCATTCGAATCGCGCTTAGAAATCCACCTCGCTTGCAGGATTTTGAAAATTCGCATTACAGAAATCCTCTTGCGTTCACACTACTGCATTTATTCGAATTGTGACCCAATTCGCAACTTATCTGGATAACTGAGCGTAGTGTGAATGGGGTATATAATAGCACCTTTTGTTTATGCAGCTCACTTGGAGTGACATTTTTCTTAAATTTTATTTTTCCACAACTGCATAAATAAGATAAACCTTAACATTATAATCATAATCAACAATATGATGGTATTTTACATTTTCTGCTCGGATAACCACTCTCTAACCTTTAAACCATAGTAACTGCTTATCTCTGCCCAGCCATTGCTTTTTAAGCAATTTTATCGATACATTTGGTTTGATGTGCCATCTGAACTGCGTACATTCAATCACTTTGAACTTGTTAATAGGAACACAAAAGGACAACTGGCAAGGTCCAGTGACTAATAAAGTCTTACAAATTAATAAAACACACTGACTGAAGACCAGATTTTTCTTTCATAAAAAAAAACACCATAAAATAGACCAAAGAATTCTTTTTTTTTTTTTAACTTTTCCCAAAAGATCAAAATTATGCCCAAACTGAAGGCAAAATGACAGATCACCTTTATCATATGGAATAAAACTGTTCAATTTAACATCACCATCTTACCAACTGCTTCTCATTAATTAAAACATTGAAAATCTCCAACTTCTAAAATATTACATCATTTTGAGGTTTTACCATGATTGCCACATTATCAGCTCAACTGTATAACACTTGCTGACAGAAAGTATGCACCAGCTATTAGAATAAATAATTCTATTCATTCATCTGAAAGACCCATTAATAAGAGAAAATTAGAACCAACAAAATGAATGCTACACCTGAGTTTAAAAGAGGTTTCCCTTATCTTAATGGGATAACTTCGGAAATAAATATCAATCTTTGTTGTTCATTTCTTAATAATGATGTACATTCAAATTTTTGAAAGGACAAAAGTAATTACATAACTCAATTACCACGATAACAATGGCATAACAAGTATCATCATACAGAAATATAGGATATAATATTTTCAAGAGGCAAAGATCATGCCAGTTATGGAATCAATCTTGCCAACCATTTATATTATAGATAAAGTGACAACTATCTTTGAATTCTAACAATTGCAAAATATGTAGGTTATTAATCTGTAAGCTATCAGTATGATAGAGGCTGTCATGTAAATTATGGCACTGTTATATTGCTCTATGGCTTGAGTGGATTGAATATTCCATTTCTGTATTGGTTGACTTAATGGCCTCCTAGGTCTTTCGAAGATTATCTAAAGACTTTCATGTGTCTTTTAACTTTAGATTAATATGGCTTCTTTTCTCA